ACCAATTTATATGCTAAAACGTGTCATAAGAAAACTATTTGTGACAGTAAAATAATGCTCAGATTAATCTAAGTTACCAAGTTAAGGATAAAAGTTACCAAGTTAAGGATAAAAGTAACCACCAAAGCCCTCACGCCTTCTCCTTTTTAATCATCAGAGGACTGCTTTTCACGCATCAGGACAAGAATGTATGCAGGCTCCCAAAGAGAAAGGTAAATGTGACCCAGTCATCTGAAAACACGTTTGTTAGACTGAAATATAAACCAAAAAGCTATGGTCCTCCTACCTCTCTTAATTGACCCTCCTCCCCACTTATGGAAAAATGCTGTTTAACTTTCCTAACCTAGAAATACCTCCACTAAAAATATGATTATACCTTTTCCTAAAAAGGTACCCTGCAGGCATTTAAGACTGAATCAGTTAATTCTAAGCATTTGCAGGAAGTGTGGCAAAATATCAATAATAAAACTTCCAACATCAGATCATGCAAAATCCAGAACTTTTACCCTACAGGGGTTCCTGAAATATTTTCAGGAATACAAATTGCAGCTTCCAGTAGCCACTGCCCACACCCTCTGACAAGTAGCTCCAAAGCACAGATGAGTTTCAGTCCTGGTCAGCTGTACTCTTGCCAGAGTTCACATACCTCCCAGGCAAGGAAAGAAAACACATGTTTTATTGTGCTATTTGTGACCCAGAAAAGGTCCCAGGTGGCTCACAGGATCTGAGAGATAATCACTGGATGGAAGGAATAAGTGTGAAATAAGAATATGTGGAAATGAAAAAGCTGGATTTTCTTCCAGAAGAGGAGGTAGAATCTCTAGGAAGTAATTGAGGATCAATGACACTAGACCAAATGACAAACAAGGTTAATAATAGGGAAAATAACTTTGGCAAGAGCCCAAAAGAAAAGAGAACTCTGACCTGGAGACCCATTTCCCCTGTCAGAAGTGACCCTGTCCCAGTGCCACGGCTCATTTCCAGGTCTGTTGTACAGTTAAGCCATAGGAGTCAAAGGTTTCACACTTAACATGTCATGGAAGCTGATGGAATATGGTAGCACCAGGTTCATCATGTCCTCTTCATCAATACCGTAATCCATGGAAATTGACACTGGCACTGGCACTGGATGTGTTTTTTTATGAAGCTGGTGCTGCATAGTCTCCCAGGGCATTGAGGCACATATTGAACAAACCACAAGTCTGGTATCTGTTGCTGTGAGATAATATGCAGTACTCCACAAGCTCTTCCTTCCACAAAGTTTTTCTCAAGACAGTAAGGACAAGGAAAGGTATAAAGATTTGGGACATTCCGTGTCTGAAATGATGCATACTTAGTTGTGGCCTTCACACCTTCCATGATATCGTCTGTTATTTGGAACTGAGGTAGTCATGGGTTTGAATCTTAAGATAGGAAGAAATCATCTTGGCAGCCATGGCAAGATGTCTCTGGTCTCAAACTGTTGTTGCTCTGGCTTTACAACTTGGAACTTAGGTGTCAGAGTGCTGTGATACAATCCACAGAAAGGTTTCTTCAGCTTTAGACATTCCTACAGTTATGCAGACCAAAAGATGTGCCTACAAGGCACCCTGCACAGCTTCTCAGATACCTACCTTTAAGCACCCAGGACACTTGAAGTGGCCCAGGGGGTCTGCCTGTGTCATGGGCCACAGGTAATGCCCGCACAGGGCTGCTGTTGCACTGCCATCTGGCAACTGCTGCACATTAACTTTTGACACAAATAAGTGCTCTTCTCTCAGGTTCTATACAGTGCCTTTAGCGTTATCTAGATTAGCAGATAAAATGACATGTATATTCCTTAGCTGGCATCCAAAGTCTCCCATTATTTAGCAAGCTTTGCCCTATCTTCAGTTTGGTCATTCCCTAACTATATACTTCTATATCTTAGTACAGATATTTTATATATATATATATATATATATATATATATATATATATATATATATGTACTTTTTAAGCTTTTATCATAGCACTTCATTTTATATTAGATATACACACCTTTGCTTTCTTTCTTTGATTCTAACTAAAGTCATCTTCATAGTCCCCTTAGACTAAGCACTCCTATTACATTAAAAATTCTATGTTGACTTGGTGGGAACTATATGTATATATAATATTTTTAAAAAACCTAACTTTAGGCAAATTTGATCCAAAACAGAACTGGAGAGGCAAATACAAAAATAGTACACCATCTTTGCAAATAATGCTCTCAGCCAACATGAGGATAAAATATCACATTGTTTTTATCTTTTACTTTTTCTGTGTAATATATCTAATAGTGAATTATTGTCATTTCTTAAAATGAAATACTGTTGACCAGAATTCTCTCCAAAAAATACAATTTAATGATACAGTTGTATGTGTAATAATGAATCCGAAACAATGAAATATTGTTAAGCACCTTGTGATTCAAATGGAAATGATATAGTCTTCTAATATAATATTTAGGTCATCTATAAAGGCACTAATGGAACTGTTTACCCTAATATTCATAAACTACTATAATCTATCCAATTCTTACTAGCTGAACTATATATCTCTATCATCATTGAGAAACCGAGGCAAGAGCTACCAAAGCACATGCATAAGGGGTACCTGGAAGAACAGCTCCCTATTCTAAAAGACTAATTAACACTATACTTCTTTATACATTTTATATTCTGGATTAACATTGCTTTGTACTTTAAATTTAAATGCAAGTAAAGAATTACTATATACACATTTACAAAGCACTGGTTAAAGTGAAATAGCCCTGCATTCTAAACAAAAAGAATATGCCAAAACCAAAAACACTTTTGTAAACAATGAATTTTGCTTTTCAATTAAAGTATCTTTACCTATTACTTATCAATAATCAGCAGATGAATTTTCTTCAAGTGAAAGTAATAGTCCATTATAGAAAACTTATTTCTTATATCCTGTTTAGTTTGTGATTTAGTCTTTTGAAAATAATTTTTCTCACATTAACTAACTTATCTTTGCCCTATGAGAAGATTAAATATCAACATTAGCTTTCTTCCTCATATCTTCTATCTTCCCTTCCTCTTCTTTTAAAAATTTCCATGAAAAAACCCAAAAAGTATTCTCTGAGATATGTGACTGGAAAACACACCTTGAAAAATTAAAATTCCAAAGGTGAGTTTTATAACTTAGTGCCACTAACAAAATTTCAGAGGAAAAAGGCATGAGAAATTACTAGAAGCTGAACACCTTGGTCTGTTATAGATGACAAAATACACAGAATAGTAGTAATACAATGCACATGACAAAATGGAACCAATTAAAAATGCACATTACAGTCAATATTCCCACTTCCTTTTTATCAAAACTCTATTTGGGAAAAAGAAAATGGATTTGGCCCACAAAAAGAGGATTGTCAGTATTTCTAGTTTAGAGAGAGCTGAGGGAGGCCTCTTGAGAGGAGAAAGACATATTTTAGTTTCTCTTGGCACCATCTGATCTTCTGCAGCTGGGTATTTCCTTGTGGGGGATGAGGAAAATGATTAAACAAGAATAAGACTGGCCAGGAGAGGTGGTGGCACATGCCTGTAATCCCAGAGGCTCAGGAATCTGAGGCAGGAGGATCACAAGTTCAAAGCCAGTCTCAGCAAAAGGGAGTCACTATGCATCTCAGTGAGAACCTGTCTCTAAATAAAATACAAAATAGGCCTGGGAATGTGATCGAGTACCCCTTACTTCAAACCCTGGCACCAAAAAAAAAAAAAAAAAAGAATAAGACCTGCTATTACCAGCTATACAGAGAAGAATAGAAAATATGTCAAGATTTTCTCACTACAAGCATTTTGTGGCCCATAATTATTCATGGATCCCAAGCATATAAATGCCTTTCTTTTAATGAGAATAATTGGCTTAAAATGCTTCAATAATTAGTTTCATGAAAAACAATTTGTATAATAAAACCAAAATGTTTCAAATCGCACAATAAGATTAGGTCATGTTCTCCAAATATAAAAGTAATTACTAGTGAATAGTCATTAAAAACAAAAACCTAAACAGTATATTGAACTAACGAGCCAGAAAACACACAATTCATAGAAGTCAACAAGGAAAAAAAAGATAATCACCAATAAATTATGGTAAAAGTATCTTGTTATTGTAAAGGCAGTTCAAAGCCAGTCTCAGCAAAAGGGAGTCACTATGCATCTATTAAATAGGTATATGTTCTTTAATAATGTTGCCAAATATAAAACTTGAAAATTAGCTACTGACAAAGGTAGAAATGATTTTAGCAAGTAAACGATGAAAATTTGGGGGTAACACACGGTATGCTGCATTAAAATTTAACCTTACAATCTTTAAATAAAAAAACTTATATTTTTAATTGCTATCATATCCGTTTAAATAGAACTTCTCTTCAGCACTTATCCAGAGTAAATAATCAATCACATACACAGCATGAGATTTACTTTTTGTACATAATCTAAATGTTATAGCAATAAGTCTTAATATTTACTTATTTTATATTCAAAATAATCATATTTTTGTATATTCAAGGTTTAAATTAATAACACTTAATGAATTCATTATGGAAAAATCTGCCTACTTTAATTCTCCCCAGAGAACATTAACAATTAATCTCTAAAAGGTAGACTATTACCTCTTTGGAGGTTTAAAGGACGGTGATTAGTAACCTAACTGAACAATTGTAATTGTGAAGAGCTACTACTACTTTTTAAAATTCATACTATTTATTCTGCATTGATACTGAAAATTAAAGACAGGAGACCAAAATAATTCCACAATATCTTCTACAGTAAGTTAGTACCACTGGCATTAAAAAAGGTAAAGATAAAAGGAAAAAAGCTGATGGACAGCAATTCTGCTGACAACACAGTTCATCCTCACAATGGATTTCATTTCTTCAGACTACCAGTACAAATCAAGCAAAAGCTAAATTTTGTTAGCAAGTTGAATTGATAAAAATCTTGAAATCTTAAAGATAAATCTTTAAAACTAACCTAGCTATTTCTTCTCGATGAGCAGTCCAATCTCGGATGTAGTCTTCCTGTTCTTTAATCCGGTGCTTGAATGAAGAACTAGTAGGCATTGCTGATCCAGTGCTCTGCAAGCGAGTGGTTTTCAGGGCTGGAGAAGTACGTAGACGGGTATGTTTAGGGGAATTACGGTTTGATCCAAATTCATCTTCTGAGGTGGAAGCATAATCAGTAGGAAAGCGCCTCCATCTTGAATTTACTAAATTAGTTTAATTATTAAAAAGAGAATTATTATGTTATCATTTGAAGGAGATAAAATAAAAATCATGATTTCAAAGACACCATGAGAGTGTACACACAGCACAATTTTCAATAACTGACACACATACCTCACAAAAACCATAAGTCTACTACTCCTTAAATATAGAAACATTACAGTTTGGTGAATTTAAAACAATGAATAATTAAAAACAATTGAAAGAACGTGTTTTCTGCAAGTGTAGTGAATAAACATTCAGATGAAAATTTTTACTAATGATAAAAAACTAAGCAAGCTCTATTCATAAATGTTTATTTTTCAGATCCAAATATTTCTCATTAAAGATATGGATTTTTTTTAAATGACAGCAACAACACCAACAACAAATAAATAAATAAAAACAAGGGAAAAGATATCCTCATGCCACATGGACTTTTAACACAGAGATGATATCTTTTTGTATTTGTATCTTTTCCCAACATACAAATGTGCATAATTCCTGCTGTGGAAATTATGCCTTTATGGCAGAAAATAAAAACATTACCTCTGTCATTCAACATCCTGTTATGCTATGGTTGGAAAAAATCTTTTTACATGGTAAAAAACACAACAAAGCATCTTCAGTACAACTCTGCTGCTTTGACACTGAAAGCATATGGTGAAAATAGACAATGGCATAAAATCTACAAAGAGCAAAACTACAAGCTGTTCTCACAACCATCGACATTTAAGGCACAGGAGATACTGTGAATAGTCACATTAAAGAAAGTGGCAATCACTTTCTTATTCAAGGTTAGTAAAGACATTTAAAAATGGTATTGCTGACACATTTAAAAAACCAGGAGACAAATTAATGCACACACTTCACTACTACTGTTAATATGAAAATCCAACATATGAGTAATCTGTGAAGCATAAATAGAAGCTAAAATTTAAGAAAAGTATGTAATGGTTTACTTAGGGTAAATGTCACAAAAGGCAGAAACCTTGTCAGTTCAAGCAACTAACCTATACCTAGCACTTAGCAATGTGTCTGGCTAGTAAATATTTAATACATATTTTTGAATGAATAAATTCCTATATGTAAACCATTTGCTTTACTCAAAACTAGTAAAAAGCATAAGATATCTTTGGTATTTAAAATGATAAAACCTTAGAACCTGCTATAAGTTTCAGTTGCCACTAATATTATAAGAGTTTTCTTTTTTTCTTCTCTATCTTTTTGTCTGTGTTTCTAATAAAAACTGATACTAAGCTGTGTAGATTGGTAAGGTCCAGAATTCTCTCATCCTTCTGCACTGGAATTTTGTAACTTTTCTATATTTTCCTCCAAAACTCTGTTTTTGCCAAGGCTCTCCAAGGCTGAGCTGGCTCTTAGATAAAACTAACATACACTGTCTTCAGTGTTGGCTTTCCTATAGTAAGGAATATGGCATAAATTAGAGCCTACTCATTTGTCCTGATTCACACCTATATTTTGAACTTCTAGGGTTTAGATGTAGATTCATGAGTACAAAAGAATGATCATTTGCAGAAAGTTCATGGTTCTCTGTAAAAGTATACACAAATACATATGCAGAACTTTGGGTAATTAATCACAGATTCTTTGAAGGGGGGCTTAAACACAATTTCTATATGGTAATTTATTAACATAGAAAATACTTTTACCATGGTGGAGATTGACTCGTTTCTAGGAATATGCAAACTCCTGTAAATTGAAGTTACTCTGAGACTTATTGAAAACAATTTTATAAAAAGTTTGGAAATAAGAGCAAATAAATTTTAGAAAAAAGTTAAAGACATAGCAAAAAAATCAGAAATATATGGGAAACAAATTTGTACTTTTCAATAAAGGCATTTCATTAAATGGTAAATATGAGTTTACATTGATATCTCATTATAGTATTCATAAATAAGAAAACATAATATGTTAGTTCAAATTTCCTGCCTTATGATTGGGAAACTACTGTCACAATGCCTATAATTGAAAAATGTGTTTAAAAGAAAACCAGTAACAAAGAGTTTTAATAAACTACAGAATAAATGAAAGCATAAATAAGTATCATGAAACTGAATTATTAAGAATAGCATTAAAAGGTGATATATTTCATGAGTGGCAGAGTACATGAAAGTAGAATGAGAATTGAGTACCAAGTGTTATTAATTTATGCGAAATATCAAGTTAAAATATATAAGTACAGGGGCTGGGGATGTGGCTCAAGCAGTAGCGCGCTCGCCTGCCATGCGTGCGGCCTGGGTTCGATCCTCAGCACCACATACAAAACAAAGATGTTGTGTCCGCCGAAAACTGAAAAATAAATATTAAAAATTCTCTCTCTCTCTCTCCCTCTCTCTTAAAAGAAATATATATACAGTCACTTTAAAATTAACTTTGCTGGGCACAGTGGTGCATGCCTATAATCCAGCTACTCAGGAGGCTAAGGCAGTAGGATCACAAGTTCCAGGCTATCATTGCAAACTTTGCAAGACTCTGTCTCAAAATAAAAAATGAAAAGAGCTGAGGGTGTAGGTAAGTGGTAGAGCACCCCTAGGTTCAATCCCCAGCACAGCAAATAATCATCATTAACAACATCATCATCAATAAAATACACTTTAAATTTTTTGAGTCTCAAGATTATAAATCTATTACATTTTAAGGAAAAACAGAAAAAGAGAAAAATCCATTTCATATACTTTCTATCTATTTTTAAAGGTTTATGTAGAAGTCAGAATATTAAAGAATCTAACATTATCTTTAAAAGCAACCAAAAGAATAAGATGTATTTTAAAAATTGAGAGAGAATATCAAATTATTTTTATAAATAGAAAATGTATCCTACAGGGTATACTACAAAGAAAAATGCAAGTTACCTCTGCACACCACTTTGCCTGTGTAACAACAGACTGAGATGGTAACTATTGGGAAAGGGCCTGGGAAAGGGAGTTCAAAGCCAGGACCTCTAACCTGTTATTTTTCAAATAATTTTAAAAACTTTTTGCTTTCCTTAATCTTTGCCTGCAAACTATTAGTAGCTATACACTTTATCTGAAGAAAATTCCTCACAACCTGCTAATGAATACAGAAGAAACTTCCAATAAGAATGTCTGTTTTTTTTTAAGGGGGGTATAGGGGTACTGGGGATTGAACTCAGGGGCACTCAACCACTGAGCCACATCCCCAGCCCTATTTTGTATTTTATTTAGAAACAAGGTCTCACTGATTTGCTTAGTGCCTCGCTTTTGCTGGCTGAGGGTGGCTCTGAACTTGCAATCCTCCTGCCTCCGGAGCCACTGGGATTACAGGCATGTGCCATAGCACCCTGCTAGAATGTTTTGAATTTTCCTCTAAACCTACTTATTTCATAAAATTTTAGAACCAAATGATCTCAGATATTAGACAATCTAAATTCAATTTACAGATTTAAGAAAATGGGTCCAGAGAGGTCTTGTGTTGCTTATGTTAAAGTGCAGGGCAGTCTACTAACTCCTAGAGTTCAAAACTCATTCCCTGCTATTCCAAGTATCTTCCAATTAGGTATTGGAAGAGTCTCTTTTTTTCATTTCTAACAAAACTAATTTTTAAACAGTACACCAGCAACTTCTCATAAAATGACAGCTTTTCTGATATCTACTCATGTTGAAGAAAAATTTTACATCTTAACTTTATTCAGCTTAAGCTACCAATTTATGGAAATAAACTTAATTTTATATGATTAAGCTTATTTACTAAAGATTTAATGATAGATCACTAAACTGAATATTTGTACTGAAGGTGTTTGAAATGTCAATGTCTAAGAGGGTTATTGGTTGGCAAACTGCTAGATAAGTCATACATTAAAGTGAGAGAAAGTTCAAGATAGTTTAATTAATCTTGTAACTCACTTTAAACTTATTTTAGTTATGATATTTATTATGAAATTTATTTTATGTATAAAATGTGCAAAAATTCTTCTTGTGGAAATTATAAACTACTATATTTACTATAAAAACAAACTACCAACTATGATGTTTAGAGAATTAAAAAGGGAAAAAATAATTATTAGTATCATATATCTGTGAATGTTCTGATTTCTTTTAATGTAACTAAACTTTGTTGAACCTAAAATACATGACAACTACAAATTTAGCAAATACAGCCAGAAAATACAGTAATACTTCAGAAAATACAGCCAGATGTGATGAGGCATACATATAATCCTAGCAACCTGAGAGGCTGAGACAGGAGGATAATAAGTCGGAGCTTAGCAACTTAGAAAGTTAGCAAATTAGCAAGACCCTGTATCAAAATAAAAAATTAAAAGGGGTAGAAATGTAATTCAGTGGTAGAATGCCCCACTGGGTTCAATATTCAGTATCAAAAAAAGAGGAGGGAGACAGAAACCACACATTACTTCTTCATACTATACTGAAATATTTTAAAGAGATACTAAATCACAAACATGTTTTGCATGTATATTTATAAGCATATAGCAAAGTTTGTGGGGTAAAATCTGAAAATGCTCTATTTTAGCTTTTAATTCGGAGAAAGAATTAACTTAAGCCATGCTTGCTCTATGTTTAGTTTTTACTATTTATAAATTTTGAGAATCTTTTTGACAACATAGAACTTATGATAGCTTATATTAGGATGGAAGTATACTTAAATATTTTAATGTACTTAAGTGGAGATGAGGTGATAAAGCAAGCAGTGTGGCAGAAGAAATTTTATCAGCTACATATCATAAAATGCAGCACAAAGGAAATATGAATTAAAGAAGTAGAGCCATAAGAAACAATAGAAAAACACAAACAAAACATAACAGTTAGTTTTCAAATACTTGGCAATAAATTCATAAACAACCAACCTATGCTTGAAGTGTAGAAATAAGGGCTGGAGTAAGAAGGAAAATGGCATCTATTCTTTTTGAAACAATGAATTTCTGTTCTCTAGCTTCAGCCTATATCAATTCCTGCCACAAACTATGAATATTATTATCAAATGCCCTAACCAGCAGAGATGGAATGGTGAATAGATGGAGGAAAGCAGCAGTAAAGAAAGGATTAGGAAGTGAAAAATATATAAATATGTATATTTAAATTTATATATATATTTATTTATATGAAATATATAAATAGATATATTTTTATTTATATATATATATATATTAAGTACCGTTAATTTGGGGTCTTGTAGGAGATATTGTGGCAGATGTAAATCAAACAAAATTAAAAAGATAAAATTGCACACCAACTTTTCTTCCACTCTCAACTCAAAACTTAGGGCTCACTTAGATGCTTGTTGACTGACAATAATCATAAATCTTCTAGTCTTTTAACAGTTGGTCTCTTCAGCCACACCCATATATGAGGCTGATTATGAAGTAATAAGACCATGCTTATACAGGATATACACATAACACCAGTCACCATGTATTCTCAATGGCTTCAGCTCTGAATATGATACGCATAAAGACAAAAATTCCCAAAATAGTTAAATTCTGGTGAGGAATAAGACATTCTGTAGATATTACACTCAATTATAGATAATTACTACAGCTAATGCTATAATAGTATTTTATGAAATAATTCTCGCAATTAACTAAATGTCTACAGCCTACTTTGACCAACATGTACTTAGTGATTGCCCCATGAATCTATCCTCTTCTACTGAAATGAATTGAGTTAAGTTTTTCACTGGTTTCAACCACAAATAAATGTTACTTTAAAATGTACAAGTACATAAGACATCTCAAAATAAGTAGACAAAAAGAGAAGAAACACTGATCATTTCATTTAGCTTAAAAGAACTAATAACTGGCATACTGTTTTTCTTCAGATTCATAAGGACTTTGGAGTATATGAGGATATTTAAAGGTTAAACACATGCTTTTAAAAGTACAATGCTAATTCCTATTATTTAAACCAGATAATAATTCCCTATGTAATCCTGACATACAAATCCACCTATGTCACTAACTGGAAAATTAAAATGTCTAAATCATTCCAATGAATTTAGAATCTTAAAATCACTATTTTTCCCCAGGACTTTAATTGGAAGTATATTAACTTTTGAATTTTCCATTTATTAATAAGGAAACAAAACCTGTCTCTTGAATATTTTGGAAAGGCAACAACTAGAAATCTAATTCTTAAAAGATTAGCCCCCAAACAGAACATGCTCATGTTATTAAAGATCTGGACTCAATTTACCTGAAGGAGAGCCATGAGTTGAGGTCATACTTTTGACCTTGGAGTCTGATAGTCGAGAGATACTGTTAGCTCTAATTCTAGGAGAAAATTTATCTGATGGTACTAATCTGGCTCCACTTCTAATGATGGCTTCTGCAGTACGTGAAGAGGCACTACTTCTAGATATTGTAGCTTCAGAATCACTACGAGCTGATAATGAACCAAGCCTTGTTCTACGAGGCTGAGCCAATAAATCAATCCTAGAAATGTTCCTCCTTCCTGTGGGTGGCTTGGATGTAGAACTTGTTGTGGATACTTCAGAAGCAACAGATGCTTTGTCAGCATCAGCAAGTTCACTGTCTGAAGCTTCACCAAGTCGTGCTCTGCGCAAGAGGGAAGTCCTGGTAGGTCGTGGCCTTGGAAGAGTAGTTGACTTACTGGATAACCCAGATGCTACAGGAGAAGTCTTAGATTTTGTTCCTTTACCTCCTTCCAGTTTGGAATGTATATGCTCATCAGTTGAGGTAAGTGGAGTCCTTCCATGAGATTTACAGGAATAAGTTTCCTGATCAGATGACATAATATCAGAGATAGCAGAATGAGGTACACTTGAGGTTTGGTCATCATCTGTTAAATCTACTGAAGGCTGCCTTATTCTTCCACTGGATTGTACAAATTTACGACCATCTGACCTTGAACCTACATCTGAGGAACGACTTTTTGGTTTTTTTTCTATTTTCTCCCTAGCACCCGAAGATGATGATTTTGTTACATCTTTGGAAGGAGAACTTGTGGAACACCTATCTTTATAGAGGCTAGTGAAACTCTTTCGTTTTTGGGTTGACTTTCTTTCAGTCTCTCCAGTGACCAGACTGATAGTACTAGCTGTATCCACATCAGATTCTGGTGAAATAGAATTGTCTCTATTATAACTGGGAGTATCTGGGCCTTCATCAGTCTTATTATCTTCACGCAATTTAGCTTCTAGAAAAGCCATTACTGCTTCTGTGTCTTTTAAAATAAGAGTTGTGTCCATACTAGAATCAGTATCCAAAGAGTCACTTCTTTCTCGTAGTCTACTTACAGATGTTAATGCTAAAGAAGGAGGAGTAGATGAAGTCTGTTTATTTATATGAGGAATAAGTTCTATAGGTATGTTTGGGCTAGGTTTTTCTATAGTGAAGCTCCCTTGTCGCACTAATGACTTGGAGGATTCTTTCTTGTCTCCTCCCTTTGAAGTCTGAGTTTTCAGAATTTCCTCAGCTTTTCTTCTCTTGCTCTCATTTTGTATTACTCTTTCTCCTTTGCTTGTAGAATGTCCTGGAATTTTGTCTGGAGGTTGGGACTCTTGTTTAGAAGTTTCCTCCCTGCATTTATCTATCTGACATGAAATATTTTTTGAAGATAATTTAGCAGGTGTCCACTGGGCCTGCTCCTTCTGTTCTTGTTGCTGCTGAATTTTTGCTAATGTCTGCTTTACTAAAGAAGCTTCCTTATCAGGTTCACTCTTTTCCTTCCCAGGAGTAGAGTTGCCTATGTGAGGCAGGATTTTATTATCTCCACCATTTATTGTTCTATTCACTTTATTCAAGGTTCTGTCAGCATCTTGTTTATCTTTCTGGTGTACCCCTGTTGGTGTTTCTTTCTCCTGCAGTTCTGTGTCTTGCTTTTCACCTATTTCTGACCTTTGTGCTATAATCTTTGCTCTAGAGCTCTCAAGAGACTTGTCTTCATTTGGAAGCTGGGGAAGAGTTCGTCTCCTTCTCTCTCCCTGCCCAGCCAAGGAAGCTACAGATCCAGTTCTTCTCAGAGAAATGCCAGATTCACCAATGTCTGCCTCTGTAAAATAAAAACCACAATGAAGGAATTAATTAGATTAAAAAATAAAAATCAAAGTGGTATCATATTACATTAGATTTTGAAGTGTAAGTTAAAAAATGGCAAGTATAAATAGATGAACCATCATTGTTACTAAACAGTTTTAAAAGCAAGTATAATTCTAAGCAAATATAATTCTTTATTTATTAATCTAAAATATTTAGATTAATAAGCTGCCTATTTACAGAGATTCAGCAAAGCAATGAAATGAAATTGAGATGAAAATCAGAACCATCAGTTCCTTTATCTCCTTCAACATATTTTTTAATTATCAAAAACTGTACATATACTTATAGTATACAACATAATATTCTGAATATATGCATATATTATAATGCATGCCATCTAAATGGCTAAATTAAGCTAATTTACATATCTATCATCTCACATTAAACTAATTCTTTCTTGTGTAGTAAAAATATTTAGAATCTACTCTCTTAGCAATTTTCTAGTATACATTTTTATTAACCAGACACCATGGTGTGTTGGTGTGTGTAAGAGTCATCCCTACATCTGTAGGGCAATTCACTATGGTCATTCTGTCTTTTGTGACTTTCTGTCCTTAAGGTATACTCAAAAAAAGCAGAATCTGGTATGTTACAGAGAATGCCTAATAAATATTGTTTATTTGCTATACATTCAATTACATAGCAGAAAATAACAAGATACTTAGCTTGTAATGTACATTATCTACTTGAAAGAATGAAGGCTTAGATTTTCTAAGTACATGGAAAATACTAGCCATATAAGGTTTTATTTTTTAAATCTAAAGCTGATTAAAATAATTTTTTAAATAGTAAGTACAAGAAAAGGACAGGATGTGTCATAAATTTAAAAATGGAGGGATTTTTAAATCATAGTTTTCTGGTATATCAAGACTACTCATGAAAATACACAACTGCTTTCTCTTTTTTCAAATAAGTAGAGATCAATGATAAAATACATACTTTGATGTTTGGGAGAATTTGAGAATACTTAAGGAAAATGTTCATATTAAAAATGGAATGTATTTCTGAGTAAAGGGGTAAGTTTCTCAGAGAAATATAAATCAACATATAAAGCATTCTAATATTTTATGGATATATAGAGTGAAAATAATAGATAAAGCTTCTGGGGTTCTTTTTTTCCTCTTTATAACCCTAAAAGACTAGCATTTAAATTTCACAAAAATATAGTGGTTATGATGGAGACAAATACTTACCAAACTGACCAATTTAAATTTAATCATGCTATAATTAATCATGCTGTATCTTACTTTGTTTATTCTTTCATGTTTACATGTCTTACCTTATTCATGCTAATTAAAGAGCCTAAAATACAATGACTATTTTCTATTTTTGTATTTTTTCTAATGTTTACCACACTATCCTGCTCTTAATACACATTCAATATAGGCTTAACAGGAATATTTTAGGACTTAAGTGAATTTATCACCTTATCTAAATAAATCCACTTAAAACATGATAAAATAGAAATGAGATCATGAAACCTAAGTAACTGGTCTATTATTTTTTAAGAGAAGGATAGAATTTTGCTTTTCACAACTAATACTTGATAATTTTACTGTAGGTTCCTTGGTAAATTTATCTAGTCCTTCTGTCTTTTTTTTCCCCCTAAACAATGACCAGGTTATGTGAACCAATTTGCAAATGACTCTGCTCCCATCAAAAGTTTTTTTGGTAATACTACCAATTACTTCTAGTTTCTATGATAAATGTTAGTTTTTCTGGTAACTATTATGTAGCTTTCTCAAAATACTTAGCTAAATAATGTTTAAAAAATTCTTAAAATAGATTTTTTAGGATGCCACAAGCCAGAGAAAAAAACAAATTTGCACTTCCAAGAAAAACAAAATTACAAATACAGACTAAAAAATACCACATACAGGGGCTGGGATTGTGGCTCAGCAGTAGAGCGCTCGCCTAGCACGTGCGAGGCCCTGAGTTTGATCCTTAGCACCACATAAAAATAAATAAAGGTATTATGTCCAACTACAACTAAAAAAAAAAAAAATGCCACATTCTTCCTTAAGCATAATTTCTTAAAAGATTTTTTTCAACTCTGTGTCTTCATGTTGAATAAATTTTTCATTTTAATTTTTTATATTATAAATTGGCAAGTTATAATTGTGTATACTTATGATATTTAATGACATTATGACATATAAAATGTGAAATAATGAAATCATCATTTTAAAATATTTATATATGTAATATAGATAAGTTCATACATGTACATGCTTCATCTACAAATTATTATCTTCATTTAGGATTATATTTTAATGATATCTGCATGGTTAGTCAAAATAAAATTATATTATTCTAAAATAATTTAATTGGCATATCAAGAAGGGTAGCAAGAATTTTTACTTAAAAGTAAAAATACAAACTTTTAAAACCATAATTTAATACCAGAAATTTATAACTAAAAAGAAAATTTCCTTAGAATACAGTTTTAAATTCTAACAGGTATCCATTCATCTATCTTTAGAAGTTTTAACTTATAAAGGATATAAAATATTAATACACATTTAATATAAATACTTTAAATAAATACTTTTGCGGCTGGGGTTGTAATTCAGTGGTTGAGTTCTTGTCTAACCTTGCATGTATAAGGCCCTAGGCTATATCCCCATCATTATTATTATTTGGAAATTTTCCACTGCTTAAAATACAAGATGCCTAATAAAAATCAGCTTTTTACTTATTAGAGAAATCATACATGCAATACAATCATAGACTATGTGAAATAATTTTAGATTTAATTTACTTCTCACTATATAAATGTTTTTCTTTTTTAAAAAACTGATATGTGACTCACAAAAATAGAAAGAGGCAAGGAAAAAGAAAACAAAGAGGAGAAAGAGAAGGAAGGAAGGAAAATACCATTTTCTGAAGGAACAGGTACAGACAATTCTATTATTCTTTCTTCTTGATCATGTCTTGTATGATTAGCAGCCAAACTAGCCCATTGTGAAACCCAACGTTTGCTTCCAGATGAAGATGTGCCTTCCTGAAAAGAGAAAAACAAGACATTGAGATAATGCAGTCTGGTCAAATTTGATTCTTTGAAAAGAAAGAGTTTTATTTAGTCATAGGAACATGCCATACAAGACCATAAACCTTACCTTATTACATTTTCATTTATTAAGTTTTTTCATATATAGAATGAAAGTTCTCTAGGTATTCTCTTTATGATTTTATTATTTACTGAAAATGCAGTATAATTTTATGTACTTCTTAAATACTAGCAACAGCTTCAAAATAAAGTGTTAGAGCTTGAAATTTACTGGTTGCTAAGATCAGCTTTGATACATAGCATAGGTTCGTGGATAGATACATGATTAGTCCTGACTCCATTAATGAGATCAGGGAGACCTATTCCCAACTTATTATCTAGGCCTCTAATTGTCTCTAGAATTCAGATTGGTTCTAGGTCTTAGGAAGTATTAAACCTACCAGGTTATGTCCTCAGTGATTTCAAAACCCAAACTTTTGACTTCTCTCTACAAAAATTTATGATTTCCAAAAGAAGCTATAAATTTCAGTCTTTATGAATTAAACTCTGAACCTAGACCTGGCTGTGTTTAGATCTTTCCTTAGGGGAAGTCATTTTTTAAAACTTAAGAGTAAAACAGAACTTAATTTATTATATGGTTCTACAGACTAATAGTCATATGTTGCTAATTCTTAGGAACAGGGCAATTTGAACAATGTGGAAGATCTAAGTGGTATATGAAAAAATATATAAATCAAGACAATACAATGATCTTGACATATCATACATTTGATTCAAATGGGGTATGAATTCTTATTTATCCACGATGCTACCTAGTTCAAGTATGTCCTCATTGATTTTTCTGTCCTCTGCATCTGCAATTATGATTTGAGATGCATTGACTCTTCAACTTTGTCAAATTCTCTAATACTTTTTTTTGCTCATATTTCTGACACTTGTTGTACACACATATATGTTAAGATTTGTCATGTTTGATTTAATAACTAAACACTTTACCATTTTGAAAAGCCAAATATATATAAATAATGCTTTTTAAAAAAAAAAAAAAAAAAAATCCAAGCCAAGGCTTCATGTTGAAACTACATAGCAACTAGGGAATGGAAAACTATGACTGAAGTTTATTTTGAACTATTTGAAACATGTTTTATTTAAAGTATCAGATTTACTATATATTTAATGATTAACAAGCTACATACTGATGAAGTTAAAGATTTCATATACTGTATGACTGATTTTAAGAATAGTAGGTTAAAATAGTAGTAGAGAGAATGACATAGATGTAGTGCAACCTACGGATACCAAAGCCTGCTGAACCCTTGAATTTCCTAAGTTTTTGTGGTACATGCCCACATTTCTGAGTACCTAAGGCTAATTGCACTCACTTATGTAGAACCATTCTGGGAAGAGTTCTAATGGCCAAATAGGTGACTCCTACAAAGGCAGAAACATACTGGGACTATATAAATTTTATTTGGCAATGAATAGAGTGGACAAAGAAGAGAGCAGGGAGTCTATTTAAGTTTATGTTCATGAAAATCCTTCCTGGATTAATCAAAATATCAGCATATTGCCTTAAATAATGATAACCTGCTTTTAATAAATAAATCTTATAAATAAAAAAAACAGAATAAAAATTCTCCTAAGAAAAACAAAAACAAAAACAAAATACTAAAATACAGTTATTGTTTTGACAGTTTTCAGGAAATAGCACACCATAAATAAGTAATTTTAACATTGACAAGCAAACATGCAAGTTTATTTACCTGACTATAAAATATTCTACTTCCATTTCATGCAAACATAAATAAAATGTATGTCTTACAATTTTCTTTCATTTTTATTTCATATTTCTTTACTATTCCTAGATCATAAATTAGTTCCTTTCCTAAGAAATAATATAGCATAATGTATAAAAGAATAAATTAAGAAATCAAAGTTGCTAAAAGTTTAAACTCTGGCTCCACAAAAAAAAAAAAAAAAGTAAGACCCTGGCGAAATAAATTTCTTTGTTACTTTAATTTCCTTATTTGTAAAATGGCACATTAAAGGCTCTGTTGAATGTTAGCTCTTATTATCTGAACAAATAATAACTTTAGTACTTTTGATTTATACAGATGTTTTACATTTCTTTTTGAAATACCAAAGTGTAATGAAATTTTGACACCATGGATTTCTCCACTAAGCCATTCTTAATTAATCTCACATTCTAATTACAACTCAGGCTATACTACACTTACTGAAGTATATAAGATATATCCATCAGACAATACCTTTCATATGTTTTCTGACATGGTGAGTCTTTCAATTACAAACACAAACTTCCTATAAAGTATAAAATGTACATTTCTTATTTTGTCTCAGAACACCAATTAGGGCAATGAACATATAGATTATTAACTGCTTACTGAAATATTTTTTTCCTTTAAAAAATATTAATTTAAAATAACAATAATAAAAACTAAGCCAGGCTTAAGGTTTTCATTAGTCATGGAAAATGTGTAAAATTTTAGTTTTTGTAAGTTTCACAAGGGGGGGATAAATCAATTACTTAAAACTTACAAATGATACAAAGTTATTTATATATATATATATATACATATATATATATATATAAAATATATAAAGAATTAAGTACACAAGAGAGATGTGTACCTCTGAGTTGTGAAATACAGATGTACTCAGTGGTTTTCTTTCTTCCATTACTACTGCAGCAGAACTGAGAGCCCACTCTTTTATCAGGTCTTTATGTTTTTCATTGATAATAGGTCTATTATAATCCTGATTGTCATCTACTCCAAATACCTAGAAGAAAAAAAATAATTTTGCAAGTGAAAATCAAAGTCTGAGTACTAGATTAACAAGTGAATTTCATATTAACTGCAGAAGCAAATAAAAATATTCTAAATAAATTTTTACTTCAATTTATTTTTTGTGGTGGGGGTACCAGGGATTGAGTTTAGGGGTACTTAGCCACAGAACCACATCCCCAGCCCTATTTTGTATTTTTTTTAGAGACAGGGTTTCACTGAGTTGCTTAGCACCTTGCTTTTGTTGGGGTTAGCTTTGAACTTGTGATCCTCCTGCCTTGGCCTCCCAAACTACTGGGATTACAGGTGTCAACCACCCTACCCAGGTGTATTTCAATTTTAATAACAAGAAGAACTTTTTAAAAGACAGAATAATACAATTGGAGTATAGCTGAAGAAGAAAACAGGCCATTGTGGTTTATGTCAGTGTGACTATTCTTTCTTAATATTTAGCAAGTATTCATATAAAAATCAGAAATATTTAGGATCTTTTTTGGGCGGGGTTACCAGGGATTGAACTCAGGGACATTTAAACACTGAGTCACATCCCCAGCCCTTTATTGTATTTTATTTAGAGACAGGGTCTCACTGAGTTTCCTAGGGCCTTTCTGAATTGCTGAGGCTGGCTTTCAACTTGTAATCCTCCTGCCTTAGCCCCTCAAGATGCTGGGATTATAAGTGTACACCACCTCACCCGGCACATTTATATTTGTTGTTACAACACCTGAATAATTTTGTTAAACATTATAATAATGCAAAGAGTTAGGAAAGATTATCTTTTCAACTTGTTTTCAGCTTGTTTCTGTGCTCTATTATTTTCAAGAAGCATGTTGAAACATGTTTATAAACATGATTCTTTTTGTCTTTTCCTTCCCTATTAAGTGCTTAACATTTACATGAGTTAAATTTATACATATTATTTTCTCTGATGCTAATTACAGATTTTATTGTATGATCTTGGCATAAAGTTTAACATTATTCTCAAACTTTATTTGCCTAATAGTTTCTTAAGACCTTTCTGTGAAATGCAGATTCCTGGGCCTATACACACAGATCAATCTTTTCAATAAGCAGATTGTCAATGGTCAACACTTTTGAAAAGTTATAAATGCAGAAACAAATATTCGTGTGCTTTTTTTTTTTTTTTGGTAGTAACTGAGTCTTACTCATTTTGGGGCACATGAAAGGCCATGGATATTGCCAAACACATTGAAAAAGTTTTGGTCATATAAACAATAATTTTATTATTAAGTATCCAGTTTATTCCCAATGCTTATTCTTTGTAGGGCTGGGGGTATACTTCAGTTTTAGAATGTTTGTCTAGCATGTGTGAAGCCCCAGGTTCTAACCCCAGCACCTCCAAAGTTATGCATCTGAATCAGCAATTTGTATAAAGGATCTTAGAATATAACCGAAGAAAGCCTTTGTTATCTATACAAATGTGAAAATAACTTAAACTAAAATACTTTCTAGAAAAAAATTAAAAGTCATATAGTACAGCTATCTGATAAATTCTAAAGTTCATATTTAGTAAATAGGTACCAGATTTTCAAATTCACTAAAACTTAGTTTTTACCACTAGATGGCCTTATTACTTAATATTTACTTCAAACACAACCATTTTGTTCTGTTCAAGAATTGTGATTTAATATTCTATTGAACTACTGAATATTTAAATTATCTTTGTGCAAATTGTATATTATTAACTTTAAATCAATATGAATTTCAATAATATATGGAAGCAAAGTGAAAAAATTTCTTCATTTTGCTAAACATTAGAATTAAATAAGTTTAAAAACAGCAGTATAAAAAACCTGAGTATCCGTATGTGCTCTGCTTTTAACATATTTGTAAAGAAAGCAAACTCGAGCCATTCAAGTGAATGATATGTTTTTAAACATTAAAAATCACTTATCACAAGAATCTTTAAACTTCAAATTTATTGAAGGTTTTTTTTTTAATTTTTATAATTACTAGAAGAAAGCTAACTTAAGTTTGGAAGTCGAAAGTAAAATTAATCATGTAAGAGTACTTACATTTTTGTATCTCTTGGCATGTTAATTTAGAAATTACCTTCAGTTATTTTCTGATTTGGTGATATTTAGTTCTAAATCCATACTGAAACTTGATTTCTTTTAACTCATAACCACCAGAATTTTCAAATAAAATGTAATCACTTTTGACACTATTTTGAAATGACAACAAAAGGCACACAAAGAACTAATGCTTTGAAAAAGGGAAGTTCTCCAAGTACTCAGATGATTTTGTATAGATTCCTTTTAAAGTTTAAGAGACAGCTATACATGTGTAAGAAAGTAACAGTTATTTCTTTTCAAAAGAAATGATAGGTCAGGAACTCCTACTGTGCAGGAAAAGAAGTCTTCAGAGTTCACACATACTTTGCCGAAGTTTAAAAAACTTATGATAGTAATAACTGACTAGTCCATCTTGAAATATGTATCTATTCACTTCTGTACACTTGTGTACTTCAGGTACACAAACATCCACTTGTGAAAAGTTTCATGTGAAAACAAAGAGGAAATAGTTTATATTGTGTTTATATTTTAAAGCTAACATACTTTTCACATTTAAAATAACATACACAATAGCCCATACCATTTAACCCATATCTAATAATTGGATACAACTGAGAGCTACTCAAAGCAAGGCCAAGTTTGTCAGGTTTCCTTATCTTTCATTCTACATTCTGTCCCTAGGTGAGTTCATCTACATGTAATGCTTCACTCCATTTACCAACTATATGGACAGCTGCTTACCTGTCATCTTTCCTCCTGAGTGACTCACGGTACTTCAAATGCAATATATTAGCCCCAGTCTCATGATTCTCTTCCCTTTCCTACTCTGACCTAGTTCTCAATAAAAATTCCAAACTTATTAAATATAAAATATGGGTCTCTTATTCAGCCAAGGGCTTCTCAGGCTAGAAGTATATAGTAGGGAAAAGGATGATATCTAATATTTATGCTTCCTCTCTATCGGAACTTTGCATCCCATGTTACCAGTCAGTTTCTAATTCTTTTAGGGTAGGAACAAAAGGAATGAGGAGTGGGGTACAAGAATAAAAAAAATTTTGTACATACAAGGCCCTTGGTTTGATCCCCAGCACTGTAAAACAGAAATTAAAAATAACTCATTTAGGGCTGGGATGTGGCTCAAGCGGTATAGCGTGCTCGCCTGGCATGTGCATGGCGCTGGGTTCGATCCTCAGCACCACATACAAATAAAGATGTTGTGTCCACCGAAAACTAAAAAATAAATATTAAAAAATTCTCTTTCTCTCTCTCTCAAAAAAGAAAAAAATAACTCATTTATTTTGGAGGTGAGGAATGGCTTTCATGTCTTCCATAGTACCTCCCTCTCCATCCTATCCCAGATCACAGACCATGTTCTCAATCTTTACCTCTGAATATATACAATTATATATAGTATCTCAGTTTGGGATTTCATGTTTGTATATTAGTGGCTATCCTAAACAAATGGGATATTTTAAAGCATTAGAGACAGCTATACACATATTAAGCAACTGTGGTATATGGTACTTACTAACTATAGGCTACAGGCTAGCTATTGCTACAGGGGATTTAGATATCTTTATAACTTAGTCCTTATTCTTTTTATTTGTTTGTTTTTTGGTAACAGAGATGGAAGCCAGGGGTCCTTAACCACTGAGCCACATCCCCAGCACCTTTTATAAAATTTTTAATTTTGAGACAGGGTCTCACTAAGTTATTTAGGGCCTCAGTAAGTTGCTGAGGGTGACTTCAAACTTGTGATCCTCCTGCTTCAGCTTTTAGTCATTGGGATTACAGGCATGTACCACCATGCCTAGCACTGAGTCCTTACTCTTAAGGACAGGTCTAATGTACAAGCCTATGAATAAACAAGTAAATTCACATGAAGGAACCATGCAACTCTATATCTAAATCCAACTTTCTATAAAACCAGACTATATTTTAGATTTAGTTTTAAATTTAAAGAAACTAAACATTCTGGAGATGATAAAAGCATGTACAATACAAACCAAGCCTATGAAAAGTTTCACCTTGATTTTTTTCACTATTATATTATCATCCTCATTGCCATTGTCATTTAAAAGTTCAAGCCATACAGAAAAAGTCCAAAATTTCTAATTCTAAAATTAGAACAGTGGAGAGAAGAAATGTTGCATATCAGATCTTTCAAATGGTGAATACTCATTCATATTATTATATTCAATAACATGAGATATAGGCATCTTGCTTATTGTGACAAGAAGTAGAGACCATGGAAAAGAGACAGACTTATGTACATAAAAATGATAATACAATATAGACCAAAATGATAATTTAATATCCATAGTCCCTTATGTGTTAGATTAAAATCTCAAATATCAGTTAGAATTCCAAATTCACCTTCCCTTAGAAATGAAAAGGATAATGATTAAAAAAAATGTCAAGCTTTTTTAGGCTTACTCTGAAATAATAACTGAGGCATCAAAGTAAAAAATTACTTAGGTTTTAATTGACATGACTAGAACATCTATCACCTCAAGGAGGAAGTACCTCCTGGGTTAAGAAAGCAGGGTATCTATCAGTTCAAATCAATATAAAGGTTCTTACATCCTACAAAAATCACCTGACATATAACTACAGAATAACAATGTGCAATTCTAGCTTCTGGTGTCAAAGAACTCCATCAAGATGATTTAAGAGAGGAGTTTTAAAAAATTGAAAATACTATTAAATCTAATTCACTTATAAAGAAAAAAAATCCCTTAAATTCAATAGAATAAAACATTTTGAATGTTTAACACTGATTTTATATTTGTAATCAAAATTAAATTTAAAATTCAGAAAAAAAGTGTTAGAAGAGCCCAGAAAGGGGTTAGGAAAGATGTTTATCATGGTTCCCCTGGTTCTAACTTGGGTCTAATTTAATTTGTTACCCCAGGATCCAGATTCTCAGCACTGACTTCCTTAATTCACTACCATAGATATTCTTTATGTTGTGTTTCTGATCTTGTAATAGTTCTTCTCGTTCTGGATTCTTTCCTACCACCTGTTATCTCAGAACCAGCACTGTCCAGATTCCATGAGGAAAGAGAAAACATGCTATCAATAGGCTTTTAGGGGGAGATATGCTGATACAATGAACAGTTAATAAGTCAGGCCAGGAAAAGTATGGGACGAAGTTGATTGTGGTATAAAATTTAAGGAGAAACACTTTAAAAGCACAAAGCCTCACTATCTATAATGACTAATATTTTTTCTTGATCAATGTTTAACTTTCTGTTCTCACTTTTAAGTTTTTCCTTATTTAGCTTAAAAGTAGTAGCCCTGGCCAGCATGGTGGTGCATGCCTGTGATCCCAGAGACTTGGGAGAGTAAGTAGGAAGATCAAAAGTTCAAGGCTAGCCTCAGCAACATAGTGAGGCCCTAAGCAACTTAGTGAGACCCTGTCTCAAATTAAAATGTAAAAACAAAACAAAAGAAACAAAAAGGTAGGTCTGGGGATGTGGATTAGTGGTTAAGCACCTCTGGGCTCAATCCCCAGTATCAAAAATAAAAAATAAAAAAGTAGCCTGACAAGATTTTCCTCTTCCCTTAGTATTATCTGTTTTGAATGGAAGAGAAAAAAGAAACTGGTACTGTGATGGGTTCTTTGGAAGGTAGAGAAGAGGCAGGAGTAAATGGGGGAGAATATCATTACTGTGAGAGATGAGTTTTTTTAATTCAGGTAGGCAACAGCATTTATAGTGCATTTTCATGTAAACATAGATACAAAATTTAAGAGGTCTTTATAAATATGAGGCATGTGTCACCCTCATAAACAGTGAACTTCGGGATGTGCAAAAAATATAAGGACATCATTAACAGACAGAACCCCAAAATACAAAACAAACTGTTGTACTCTCTTAACTTGGGGGTTGGGGAAAAGGAGAGAACCAACACCAAAACAGAATAACAAGAATAGGGCATTTTGGCCTGGTCATTTCTTTTAAAGAGATACTATTTTAATTATACATAATTTCTTCTTCTAAGGTAAGATGCAAATAACTTTTCTGATCATCTTTAATCCCAGGTAAGCAATGTATTTGTGGATGAACTGAAAAGGTGTTTCACTGCTTACTATACTTAACATCAGTACAGTATTGCTTACTTCTTTTCCACTCTGCTTTGATTCCCAGATGACATTTCCTTTTGGTTTTCTCTTACTCCTGTCTGATCCTCTTCAGTTTTCTTTTGTTCACTCTAATACTATGTCCACCAATGTTGGTATTGCCAAGAATTTCACACTTTGTCCCATTACTCTATATAGCTTCACTGGTAGTTTCATCTCTTAGTTCTGCATAACTCCCCTCTCTTCTCTAATATTCCCAAATATGTATTTTTAGCTCAGTCTTCTTATGTAAGATTATGACAGTCATAACTGACTGACTGCTGGACAGGACAACAGCTTTTAAATTGCCTTTTCAATTTTGAAGCCCATTTTATTTTTTATTGAGACAAGGTCTGGCTACCCTTGAACTTGCCATCCTCCTGCCTCAACCTCTCAAGTACCTGGGATGACAGGCATAGGCCACCATGTCTGGCTTTAATTCACTTTTCTACCCCACTATGCATTCATTCTTGAAAGAAAGAACTCAGTTTTTTTCTATTTGCATCACCATCCCTAATGCAAAACCTCGCACATTATCAATGAAATAAACCATTTCACAAATGATGGAATGAAATAGGAAAAAGACCATATGAAAGTTTTCAGGACCATTCAGATTTAGATGGACAGCAGCAGATGGCCCCAACTCCTGTTCCACACACCAAAATTTCAAAAAGGAGAAAACAGATGACAGTTCATCCAAGCAATTTGATATGTTGCCCATATCTACTCCAGTCATCCCAAAGCACTTCTTATGCTGTCAAGTTTGCTATTCTTGGCCTTTGTTTTCTCCACACCCACAGGTTATTTCTCCAGACATTTGATTCCTGGTTCTGGGCTTTTTTGTTTCCCCCGGAGCCTTACTTTAATTAGCCTAGATTTGGTTTTCAGCTTTGATCATAAATAATGAAATCTCAGTTCTTTTATTACTTTGGTAGTCACAAGATAATGCTGTAATCCTTGTTTTCCTTTCAGTATAGTCCCAGCTTTTTTTCAAGAATAAGTAAATTATTTATCCAGTCACATAATATCATTACTTCATTAAATGAATCCTATTTTATAATTGTAGATTTCTCTATCAGTAGTGTGACCATTTCTTTTGTTAACAACCACAATATATTGCTTACAATAACAACTATTCCACAGGCAAATGGGTCTCCAAATGTTTGGAGTTGTGCATTTCCACAGTAAAATATTTTGACCATGATACTCTTTGATAAATATTATGTTTAGAAACTATATGTCTGTCAATATATTAATAGATTGTATACACTGGAGAAAACAGTTCAAAGTAGAAAAATTATACAAAACAGTGAGCATAAGTCTTAATATTTTTCCTGCATCCCATAGGGCTAGGTATCTTGCCCACTCCCTCAGATACCATTCTGGAAATTCGTTATCTAAACTAGTGCATCTCAACTGTTAATGTGCATATGAATTATTGGGCAGTCTTGTTTTTAGTACAGATTCTAATTTAGTATATCTGGGGGTTGGTTTCTTAAGTGATATTAATGTTGCTCATTTAAGAAGCACTCAACTTTTGAGTAACAATAATTTTTAAAATAAATAAATGTTTAGACAAACTTATGCTGTTACTTTCCAGGCGGTAAAACAAACAGCTAATTTGAAAGCTGACTTTCTATTACCATGGGCATAATTAAGAAAAACTATTTTTTAAGCCAAATAATAATCATTATACACATTAATCAGTATCATCAAGAAAATTTATATAATCATCATGACTAGGCATAATCTAGCTAAAATGAACATAATACAAAAAAATTTGATTTTGTTTTCATACACTGCTTTTCTATCATCAAAGACAGCAGTGAACAGAAAAAAAAATAAGGACATATTAATTAAAACATGTATTTTCATGTGCTTCCAACATGAAATTAGTAGAAAGGAAACCTGTAGTTAACACATTTATGTTAACAATTCTAAAACTCTATTTAGTTGTGACATAAATAAATGCAAAGTGAGTATGTCTAAAGTGTACTATTTTTAAAGCCTACTTTAAATTTACATAGCCTTAAAAGGTCCAAACAGTTTAAATGTTCAGGACCATACATATGAAACTCAGGCAAATTCAGAATAATTAAGAAAGCAATTTGGTCTTATTATTAGTCTCACAGCTCCCTAACAAAACTCTGAAGTTCCAATAACACTGACTGCATGAGAACATTTCAGTGTTGACTCTCCAATAATTTCCAACAGTTAAATACACCACACAACTAACATTATACTCAAATTTCAGTTATTTACCTTGTCAATCATTTTTCTTGCTTCCACTTCCTCACTGTTGGGATTCTCTAACTCAATGGTATATGTACCCTTGTCACTTTGGTCATCATCATTATCCTTTTCAGAAGTAGCAGAAGTAGCTTGATTTTTTAACATTTTATCCATCTCCTGGCTTGGTCTGTGCCCAAGACTCCCTGAACTTCTTAATAATGCAGTTTGTAGGAAGGGTATTGACACCGATGGCTCCTCTGATTTCTGTTTTAACAATTTCCCATGTGGAACACCATGCCCCCCTCTGTGATGCGCAGAGCTAGTCTGTAAAGACAAAGAAACCACTTTGGCATCTGCTATTGGAGATTTTGTTTTTTCAAGTTTTGTATGTAGTGTAGAGTAAGTAGTTTCCTGACACAAGACTCCTGTACTTTGAGTAAAAGAATATGACCCTCTTTTTCTGGGGTGGTCTTCATTAAAGAATGCAATTATAAAAGAAGTTTCACTTACAACAGCCTGGTCTTGATGCTTTTCAGGAGCCTGCACCTTCTGTAGCTTTTTCTGTTCTGAATGGTGGCGCCTTAAGTGTTCCTCAAGAGTTGCACGTTTGCTACAGCGCCTATGAGCCCCAGCATTCTCTGAGTCACTTTGTGTACCATCATCATGTTTATTTCCTACACAGAAAAAGAGAAATCACATAATAGAGAAGAAAATAATCCCATGTAGAAAGTTAGAAGTGTATACAAAAGTGCTATTTGTTTTGACCTCTCCCCTCCCCTTTCATCCAAAGTCATATGTTCTTTTCAGTAACAGGCTCTGCAAACTTCCCTCAATTGCAATGGTTATATTCAATTTTTATCAACCAACAATGGGGGCCTTTATAAACAACTGAATAGGACTGCTTTTCTTTCTCTAAATCTCAACTTTATAATGATTAATTGATGCCTTAGTAGATAAACGATACTATCATCTGTCATAGTTTGTATTCATAATGTCAATAAATATTAATTTTGCCTTCAAATATTAACAATTTTAACAATAAAAATGACTTTTGCATTTGAGAGGTAGAAAGATAAGAAAAACAATGACACCACTAAAATGATTATGCAGAAAAGAAAATACAAATACCATAAAAATGTGATGTGATGATCAATATTTTCCAAAGTTCAGTATGCCTTTCCTTTTTAATAAAGATTCAAATCTGTAATTCCCCCTAATTTTTCCTATAAATTTTTCCTGTGTTGTTCTAATTATGAGAATATTTGAAGATTGCATTTGTGCTCTAAACTCTGGTACCTTAACAAGTTAAATAAAGTATTCTATCAAAGAAAAGAATAGTCTACCAAATCCTTAAATAAATCTACGCTCCTTTGGACAAAGACTCAAGGGGTAATATCTATATTACAATAGTATGAAATTATTAGGAAGTCTAGAGCTATTCTATACATATTTTAAAAATATGTATAGAATATTATACATATGTAAATGGATTTAAATGAAAATATATTTGGAAGCTATAAATCAATCTAGTACACTGTAATGCACTTTGATATATTCCAATGCTTCCAGGACAAAATCTGATTTTTAAGTTTGGTAACAAACTTTAATTTGAACACAAGCTGAATAATGTGTTACTGAACAAAATAATGATGAAAAATGAAAGACTGGAGGGGTGGGAAGCAGAAGACATGGCTAATGAAATAGTTAAGTTTTAATGCCCATGAATAAATTTAGATGTCACCAATTAGTGGTAATAATTTAAGAGGACAAGTTATAAAAATGGAATACATAAAAGGAATGAGAAAACTGAAAAGAAAGAATGGCAGTACTTGCAGAAAAGGTTGATGTTTTGGAAAAGTGATAGGCAAGGGAAAGAAAGAAAATGAATAAAATTTAAAAATGGGGGTTTGGGGAGTATTTCCACTAAAGAGATAGTAATTAATATTATAAAATAAGATTTGACAAACAAATCTTAAATTCTTTCTTCAAATTATTAACTATTCAAAATGAAACCTAAAAAGAAAAAAAAATAACTGAATTAATGGAATCTCTGCCTCAAATAATGAATCCAGAGGTCATGGATAGCAGGTGGAACAGAAAACCCAAATAAAACCACTAGTTCAAATACAAAATTCATTAAAAACATTACATACATTTCAAACCTATTTCAATATTATATTGGATATGCTGAAAAGGAACACAGTTTGTAAGAGCTGAAAATAATAAAACTTCAATATTTCTTTTATAAAAATGAATAACCTTTAAAAAATGTGTATAAAAGTATTTTAATGAAAATATCATTTTATAGACTTTAATTCTTATTTCAATATATAAAATTTGGAACCCAGTGGTATAAGGCCCTTTCAAATATCTTTCTCGTATAGCTTAAGAATAGTCATTTTCTTTGGTTGGAAAATTATTATTCATTCTTTTATTTCTCAGTGTTATACAAGACATCTGATCAGAGATCCAATCTTCTGTTTTTTACTTAAAAAGATCCCTAGCAAACTCTCCTCACCAGTTTTTTTTTTCCCTCCCTCTGCTTGTCATTAATGATGCCTAAAGACACTGAAATTTTAAAATACTTCTTAGGATAGGTCATCTGTACCTCACCACTATAGCCAAAGAAGGTGCAACTCTCCTAAAGGGTGAAAGTGTATGGGCTTTGTGAACATTATTTTCCTCACTGTCCCAAAGCGCGTGCACTTTACTCTTGTAGGAGCAAGATATTTTTGTTTTGTTTTGCCTACTTTGAATTTTTGGACTAATATGAGTAGTTGCTGAAAGTCTATAATTTTTGAAAAATTGTTATACACTGTTATATATTTGCATTTATTTAGAGTCTTAATGTATCATCTTGATATCCTAAACTATATAAAACTATTGTCCAATGAAGCAGTTCAGACTTCTGTATAGAGTCAAATGCCATTTGTAAGTTAAGTTTGAAGAAATAAAATGGGTCTATCTTGGATCAAAATGAGTTAGACTTGAAAAAAAAACATGTTTTTTGATGACTTTATGCAAAATGGCATAAAGTCAAATCCAAAAGGTTTCCCAGCGGCAGCACCTTATTGGAATATATGTCTACCTATTTGATTGTCTAATTCCTTAATTAATTCCTTAGATATTTTAGTTTAAAAATATCTAATGATTAATGTGGTGACACAGATAACGCAGTCCTTAATAACTCTATTTGAAATTAGGCTCACAAAAGTCTTATTCAAAATCACAGAATGTTTTCAAATAATGGCTTAAAAACTTGGGAGTACAATAGAGTAGAGGAAGAAGAAGAGAGAAATGGAAGTGAGAGGGAAAAGAGAGATACTAAGGAGTGAAATTGACCAAATTTTGTTATGTGCATGTTCAAATATGTAACAAATCCCACGATTATATACAACTATAACGTACTAATCAAAAAATATCTAACAGAAAAGTTATAATGACTTTACAAAGTTACAAAAGGATTTAACAAAGATAGTTTTAAATGGTACCCTTTTATTAATTTAGATCATACTGTATATTTGATAAGAATGATTTTTTTAAAAACAATAAATTTTCAAGTCTCGTACTACCTCTTATAGTAGAGTTATCAGTATTACTTATCCAATTAATATAAATCATCAGCTAACAAATGTATGGCTTTTATTTATAAGATTTAACCTATACATGCATACACAGGTCTCAATTATGTATAATAAAGTCTATACGAATTAAAGATTATAATCACAACTCAAAAGTACATATGCCAGGTAACCACTTATGACTACAGTGCTATAATAGGCACAAAGAATTAATCACATTATCTCACTGTCCTGAAATGTCTTAGAAGCAAATCCAAAATAAGAGTGAGAGTACAATTTCTTCATTACTAGACCTCTTATAGTAGGGTATCAGGACACAAAGTAGGCATTAAGCCAGGGTCAGTCTTGCCATGGAGAATGAATTCATTCACTGTTTATTTGAATTACTCTGTACCTATCATATGCTTAAGTCCCATATAAAGTGTTAACGATACAAGTAAAGTAATATATGGTCTCTGACCTCAAAGAGCCATTTTTAAAAACTCATTGACTCCTAATATACAAAAGAATGGCCATTAATAAATAATCATAATTAATTCAAAATCATTCCTTTATATATACCTTATTTAAATAAATATGTGAAAGTAATACAAATCTGTATTCAATTAGTTCTTTTAAAAAAGGAACTGGCAAAATCAATAGGAAAAAATGATCAGCTGATACCATTAGTGTTTAATTATAAAGTTTTGAATATGAACATTCAACTACAATTCTCATAAAGTTTAAATACTGAAAAAAATTTTAAAATTAGATTAATAAGTATCCAGTAAATATTTGTAAACTCAAGTGTTTCTTAAGTAACCACTAACAACAATTTGAAGTACTCCATCAACAATGTGATTATATTATCCAAGTAGAACTCTTAGTCCATACCTAATGGCTTAAAATTTCTTTCAAAATCTAGATATTGATATTTAGAAGCATCATAAGACAATAAAACTGGATATATCTTTTCCTTAAACAAAAGAAGTGATGGGAATTGTCTTTTAGGAAATTCCACCGATGCACTAAATTAATTTGATATTTCCATGGGGGGGCATTTAATGGCATATATAAAAATTTACAATATGGCTTTGGGAAGAAAATGAAGAAAGACTATTGTGAATAAAAGTTGGACATGAGCAGTGTGGTTTGCTTTTGAGCTTTAAAGTTAAACATAAAGTTTGAAAAAGCAGATGTCTTCTACTATATATTTACTTACTAGTAGTTTGCTAACTATGAAAACTGAATTTTCTTAATTATATAATAGGAAGTTCTGAAATGATCATTTACTTTACCTTTCAACCTTTTCAAGTACACTGGAACATCGCTTTTTATACTTTTGGAATCCTCTTCTGTTCTTTCCCATACCATTTGAGGAGGGTTGTTTTGTGCTAGCCAGTCAGCTACTTTGTTTTCTGGAGCCATCATTCCTGTTTGAATTCCTGGCAAGTCTTGAGTTCCAGGAGATGACTTCTTTGACTTGTGGCGCTGATCAGAAGTAAATTTTGTCACATGGTCTCTAATAGTTACCTTCCCTGGGGTACTGTCATCAAATTCAATGGTAAATGAAGCATGCCCTGCACCTGTTGTATGGGAACTTGGTGTGTCTTTTGTTGGGATTTCATGAATAGTGCTCTCTGTTATTTGTGAAGGTTGCTGGAATTCTTTTGTAGGGATTTCAAAATAACTTGGTTCCCTACAGAAAGGAAAAAGTACATCTTCATTTGCAGCTGCAGACTGTTCCTCAACTTGCTTGGCATCTATGCTGCACCCTAATGAGAAAAATAAGAGAGAATTCAAAATATTTGGGGGTTTCTAGCATTTGAAGGAGACTGATAATGACCAGTGCATTATTTTGTAAGGATCAGAACGCAGATCATGGTCTGGATGAAAAACAATGGCATTCTATCATCAGCAAAAAATGTAACAGAGAAGAAAGAACTTGATTATAAACATGCCATTTAACTAATAGCAGATGCAAGATAAGTAGTAGTAATAGCAAAGGATAGTGAAGCAGTGAAGAAGTGAACCTTTCATGGCTAGGTCCATAATTTTTCCAACTTGGATCTAGAAATTATCAAGGTACAAAAGAAGTGAAATCAAATGGGGCTGGAGATTCAAGTTCTAAAGAAGAATAAATAAATAAATATTAATATATATATATATATATATGAAGAGCATGGATTTCCTTATCAAGTCAGCAGGATGAGATGTCTTAAACATCTTTAAATAAATGTAGAGCTCCAATGGAAAACAGATACTCAAATGAGGATATAAAGTAAATATGTAAGTCATGTTTTAGAAGTAATGATTCCACTTACCATCGTTTACCATTACATTTAGAGATATGAATTTTAGAATGACAGAAATATTACTGATGCGTGATTCCTGGAAGAATATAGACAATCTTATAAAGACAAAAAGAGTAAAGATAAAACATGTGATTTGCACAAAAGCATAGCAATCCAAGCAGCAATATGAAAGAAAAAAGAAAAAATAGAAAATTCAGTTGCCTGCCAGTAATCCAGAAGAAAATTAGTTTACATTTCTATATAGTTGAGTATGTACAAGTGTTAAAAATATTTGAAGGAAAGCTGAATTATAAGCCTCAGATTATTAACAAGATGGCAAGCAGAAGGAACAACCAACCCTGGAACACTTTCACTTTTCTTTTGTTGCCTCAGAAACTAATATAAAGGTATGAAAAGAGATGCTTTATAATAAAATACATAAAGGTATATAAATGAAAATGACAGCTAAAATGCTTATTTTAAGTACATATTTTAAGTATTTATTAGAGAAAGCAAATGCAAAAGAAAAAGCTTGATTAAACTGCCCTGTTGTTGAGATGGTCTATTACCAAGCAAGTTCAAATGAAATATGTTTCTCTGCTCAAAAATCCATTTTGGTTTTAAACAGACTGATAGAAAAATTGTGTACAGAAAATTTATTAGAAAGAAAAGGCAATACAAGGAAATTATGTTGTTTCTAACCCTTAAATTAAGTGAATTTTAAAATACATGTTAAATTTTAATTCATCAGGTGTTAAATAATTGACTTCTTAACAGTACTCTGAATAAGAAATAATCATAAAAACATATGTTTTTAGGTTACAAAAGAATGGGACATTAACATCTCCATGTGCTAATGTGTGGGAAAGAAAACATAAAGCTCCAATTCCAAAATAGTAGAAGTAGTAAGCTGCTCTCTCTCTCTCTCTCACACACACACACACACACACACACACACACACACGGCTAAAAAGAAGGCAAAAGAATTATCTAAGAATAATAATTTTCAGTATAAAATTATCTTTTACTAAAACTACTCAATTTTGCTCACTACTGAAAATGAAAGGATGATACTGGGGAAAACCCTACATTATCAGTGCAAGGGACAATCAAGAGCAGATAAATGGCCTCAAAAACATTGTATTCCAGTATCACTCAGTATATACTGAGAAGCTTTACATATTTCAAAGGCTTCTGAGGACATCATTGTAAGATATCATAATTCAACAACTGATACAAATAACGATGATTCTGAGTTAAGAGAAAAAATTTACACTATACTCAGACTTCTTTGCTCAAGTAGTTATAGGGGTAATGCATTTAACAGTAACTTAGGAAATGGTTAAACTTTTTAAAAACTGTTGTAAAAGTGAAGTTTGATCACCTGGAAAATTAATTATATGTAGTCAGATTCCTTTTCCTGAAGATGGTAAAAACAAATGAAATGTGTGGTCCTATTAAAAATGCCTAATAGCAAAATTAATAGGGCTTACGAATTAAGATAGAAAAAAACCCCAGCTTTCTTCTTTTAGAATACTGACAACATAGTTTGGAATTTATGAATTTAACATTCATTTATCTTTTAAAAGTCATTTTTGTTATATCAAATTAAACTATATACTAATTATTTGTTTATATCAATATTTTAGTAATCTCAACTACTAGGTTTTAAAAAATTATTTAACAACTGACTATGTTAGAATTAATTCTGTATATCTAAATCAGAAAAGCAACTGGTGATAACTTGCTTATGCTCTGAGGGTATTTTATGACTGTGTGATCTATCAGGGATACTTATAATGCATTCTTCTGTACTAAACTAATACTCAACTAATTTAAAATCACAGACTATAATTACCATGGCTCATTCTGCTTTAGACATTTACCCAACTTAGCCTAGTGAAGTATTTCAAATTATGATTTCTGTGAAACTCCTTTTGCTAAAAAGAAGTTACAACTTAAAAGCCTCCAAATTTAGTTTGTCTGGATTTTTAAAAATTACTGTAAAAAGAATCAAGAAGCTACTACATATAGTATACATGCCTTTTCAAAATGTATACAATATTTAAAGAGCCTTTAAATTAATGTTGAGACCAAAGATTGAAGAACGCAGCTATAACTACGTTGAAGAAAAATTTTCCTTAGTAGGATTGAAAATATTCACAGAATTTCAAGAAAACTGGCTTGTTCTAATGTATACATTTGCTTCTAAGTTTTTTAGACTATGTGTCAAGTTTTTAGGAGATTCTAGACATGTGGACACACAGAGGGGGATATAAAAAATGATTAGTAATAGACAGGTTTTAATCCTTTCTGAAATATTCACCTTCCATAGTAAGTACCAAGTTTTTCAATTCTAAAAATGGGTATCCAAAAAGGAAGTCACTTTTTGTTTATACTGCATGAGTATACTTGGAGTATAAGTTATTAAATTGATCATTTATATTCCATAATTTGAAACATTTTTTTAAATTTAAATTCTTAAAAACACTTTAATTTCAAAATAATCAAATTTAATAACAATTGATACACATTTCAAACCTGATTTTTAAATTTCTGATGAATTCATAGATTATTCCAGTAAGTAAACCTCATCTTATCTTTTAATAAACTGCAAATGACAAATATTAAATGGTATTATCCTTATACTAAAATGACAAAGCAAGCAATAATCTCACTGAACTATTAACCAACAGAATCTGATAGAGCACAAGACATTAAAAAAAAAAAATTCCCTCTCTACCAGGTGGCTCTAGTGCACAATGATAGCATGATATGTGATTCTTGAAGAAAGGAATTTAGAGATAAGTTGTGGAGAGAAGGCTTACTCAAAAATAGTGAATTAAACAGTATCACATATTAGCAATACATATATACAAATACATCATTTAGAATTTTATATTATTCAATGTCTGTGTGTATTGAAACCTGAGGGAGAACAGAACAGGCAGGAATTATCATATTCTCTCCAAAATTGGAAGAGAACACTATAACAACTGATACTGGAATATAAGGCCCTCTAGAAAAAGTAGAGCAAAATTAGAAAGCTCTGATACATAAAACTTAAAAACATTAAAATCTATTTGGCAAGCAAATGGGAGTCAGTGTAGTTTCTTGAAAAAAATGAAATAAAGATCAGTTTAGCTTTTTAGGGCCCAAACTTAAGTTAGAAAGTTCAATTATGACTTGGTGGGACAAAAAGGCAACAGAAGTAGGTCATGTATTAGATTGATAAGGTGAAGAAAAGGGAAGACAAAAACTTTCAAATAAAGTAGACATTCTTGATTGTCTTCCAGTATCTTTTTCCTGTTTCTTCTTTCTAAAGAACGCCAACATTCTCTGGTATCCACTCTTCCCTGACACAGCTCATGTGCCTTAGGGGAAAAAAAAACTCCACACTCAGCTTCAAGGCCAACAACAGTGGTGTAGAGATAATCTCCTATGTCTCACCAGGGACAGGTTCATTAATAAGCAGGTGACACACTTCTGAACCTGTGCGAGGCCAACGAGAAGACAGATGTATTGAAAACTTTTAGGAATGTTCTTCTTCCACATTCTGTGAGGTCTTCTGGAAGCAACCTTTGTTCTTTTCTGCTGGATATGATAGCATTTACCCTTGACTGGTAGGCAACCTGAGTATGAGGGGAAACTCCCTCAGTATGCAACTATTGTGAACAGTTAAGACTGAAAGATGGAGAAACTAGCTAGATGATAACATTGTTGAGATGATGGTGGTATTCAATCATGTGAGCCAGTAAGTCCTTCTTGTTTAGTATCAGGAAACAGTTCTGTTATTTACATTTGAAGATATGTTAAATACTAAATAATAATACTTCATGGTTGGGTGTGAAGTAAACTGTGTTGGTGAAAGAAACTAGGAAACTGTGATAGAAATTTATTTTATAAAGTTGACAAATTCGGTTTGGGACACAGTAAGATTGAGTTGATAATGCCAGCTTTCTTAAGATTTTTGTGTCTTGGCCTAATAAAAGTATATCTAAAGAAACAGCATTCTTAATTCTCCAACTAAGAAAACTGTCTCACTTATTTTGTAGAACTATGATCAAAGGTAGAAAACTGAAAAACTTCGGATGAAATTTATCCTTTTCTCTGTCAGACTAAGTCTTCCATATTCATCCCAGGTACCAGTTCTGGATCTTAATCTCCTGTTATCACAGAAATTGGCTGTTCAATCCTTCTGTTCTGATGTCTTTTCAATGTCCGTATGTGACAAACAATTGACACCTCCATTTATTTCCTGGAAATCTTGATCTGGTTTATGAACACTTAGTTCACCACCGAACTACTTCATCAACAAAAGACATATTCCTTGATTACTATTCTGAGACTCTGACCCAGAACTATTTCTTCATTCTTGAAGCTGAACACGGTAATCTTATTGCTACTATAATCCCAACAAATTGAGAATAGTGACGTTTTAAAGAAGCTATAATTTCATATCACATTTCTGAACATCGTAGAAATTGTTATGTTTGTGAATCTAATGAAAAGATAAAATCCATTTGTATCTACTACCTTGGTTAAAAATTCATTTTAATAATTACTTTAAATATGTAAAATATCCAGTTTATTAATCTGTCACCAGTTTGAACAATCTCATAAACTAGGAAAAAATACTTTAAATAAATTACTTTTTAAAAGATTGAAATTAATAATTTGAGAGTCACTCATAAATAAGAAATTTATATTAAAATAATAAGGACATTAAAATAGCCATCAACCTTTTTTTTTTTAAAATCAAGCTTTAGAGTAGCAGACCACCTCTTTTCAGAGTTGACAGATTTCTGCTTAGATTACAAATGATTCCCAAAATATCCATGTAATGTCATAGTCATTGAGATATTTTTACCTGATGTTCCAGTTTCATGATTTTTTTCTTCAGCTTTGCCATTTGACTTGAAGTCTATTTTTTCATCCACTTCATCATCCCCCCACCATGATGGCTGTCCATATAATGGAGTACCACGGGGCATAGCAGAAATATCTGGAAAGAGGTAGGAAAAAATCTGCCTAAAGTAGATAAAACAATGCTTTGAAGGCTAGAATTGTCTACTTGATTAATCAAGTGAAAAAAAATCCAAAGTGTAATCTAGATAGTTGAAAAACACCCGACAAGTAATAACACTATTGGTGTAATACCTTACAGAATGTGAACATTTATACTGGCTGATATATATCTAAGCTTTTTGTTAAAGTGTTGAGTTCTTTGGTATATAAATGAACCACTTAAAACAAATAACCTTTGACTTGCATATTTAGACAAGAAATGGTCCCAGTACAAGATGTTTTGTTGAAAGTAGGCAAAAACCAACAAGGGTACAGTAAAACCAGTCTCATTAGAAATGTCATTGATGCCAAATACAAAAGATTAAACTAGAGTAAATTGTCATGAGTAGCCATTTTCTAATTTTTTTAAAACCTAATGGGAATAGCATAGTAACTATATTTAGTTTTTAGCAGAATATATTTCTTATTTGGACAAATATAATGTCCATCGATTTCAAATTGTTTGTTTAAATGAAATTATTTATACAAAGCATTTTCATAGGTTTTTGACCTGTAAATTATACAATGATATTATAATGATGAAGCATTGGATTAACATCTTTTCTTCCCTTTCAGTTGTTATAATTCAGAAAAATGCAAACAAACATGAAATAAAAATTATTTTGATAAGCAAGTGGCCAATCTTTTGAGAACAAAGGATATAATTTCTTCAAAATCAAGTATAAATATGGGACTTTCAAGAGGTTAGCTTACCTGAGGCTTTTTCCTCAGTTTTCAGTGCTTCTGTAGGCTTGTGTTGCACTTCTGTAGGTGCATCTGCCACCTTTGAATCTATGCTTTTAGCACTTGCAGATTTTGATAATTCTGATGATTCTGAAGATTTCTGGGACAACTGAAGCTGAATGGTAAACTTCTCATGCTACAAAATACATTTAGAAAAGGAACTGAAACATCCATGAATAAAATCAACACTAGTGAATGGAAGATTGAAAAAAGGAAAAACTTTTACCTTTAGGGCTTCTTCAGGGACCCTCATTTCTCCTCTTACTACAGTAAAAAGATTTGTATGTAAACGGGGCTAAGGAAGAAAAGGACTTCAAAATTCTGGTAATCAAGCTTAAAATGGCCATCAAATATAATTGGAAACTGTCCTATTTCAAGACTTATTACAGAAGAATTACAGAATTTTCCTTAATATTAAATGTTAAAATACATTTACAATTCTCATTTAAAATTTTCATTTAAAAATTTTTATTGTTGTTGTTATTTTAAAAAAAGCATACTACAGGGACACAGCCACATCAATGTTTAAAGCAGCACAATTCACGACAGCAAAATTGGATACCCTTCAGTGGATAAATGGATAAAAAAAAATGTGGCATATATAATAAAAGAGAATAAAATCATGGCATTAATACTAAGTGAAATTAGCCAATCCCAAAAAACCAAATGCCAAATGTTTTCTCTGATATAAGGTGACTAGTTCATAGTGGGATAGGGAGAGGGAGCATGGGAGGAAAACTCTAGATAGTACAGAGGGGTGGGAGGAAAAGGGAGGGGGCAGGGGGTGAGCAATGATAGTGGAATGTGATGGACATCATTATCCAAAGTACATGTATGAAGACATGAATTGGGGTGAACGTACTTTATCTACAAACAGAGATATTAAAAAAATTGTGTTCTACTTGTGTAGTAATAATTGTGATGCATTCCACCGTCATGTATTTGAAAAATAAAAGCAATTAAAAAATTTTGTTGTTGTTGTTGTTGTAGATGGACAGAATACTTTTTATTTTCTTTATTTATTTTTATGTGGTGCTGCTGAGGATCGAACCAGTGCTAGGCAAGTGCTCTGCCACTGAGCTCCAGCCCCAGAACAAATTATTTATTTTTAAATACTAAAAATCTTAAAATTCAGCAAGTACTTCTTACATTAGGCAATACTAGACTTCAAGAAGAAAATAACTGGGTATTATTAATCAGAGCACAAAGACATTTTTAATTTTCACAAACAATATGACATGATTACAATGAAGAAAAAAGCACCTGGATCAAATTATATTGACAGCAAGACCCAAAAATGTAAAAATGTCTCACAATGATTACCAAACAGCAAATCCTAAAGTAATTTGATTACTCTTTGATAAACATAATAAAAATGAAGTTCACTTTGCAAACGCAAAATAAGTGCTATAATGAGGGATCATAGAGCAACCACAACCACCTCTTTGCTCCAGTATTGCATCAGGATTATATTACATTATCAAACAACTGATTGTATACAAATTAGACCCAAGTGCTAGGGATAATGAATGCTTTCATTATGGTGCCAAAAGAACAATGCTTCTGTATATTAAAAAGATCTATTCACTAAAGAGTAGAGGTCACATTTCCCAACATTACTTAACCCTGTAATGAAAGAACCTTTATATCATATACTAAATTCTATTCTATTTTATCAATTCAATGCACTCAACAATCACTCTAAGGAAGGAATTACCATTGACTACTTGGGGGGAAAAGACTTCCCAAGCATAATGGAAGCTGTAGACATTTTAACGTATAAAGTGAAAATTCTGAAATTTCTAGAATTTTGTGGAGCTTTGGAAAATATCCTGCTTAATTTTGTTAATCTTTCTTAAACAGAATCTAGTATGTTCAAGTATGTTCACTAACTACAACAAAATTAAATTATGAATCAGTAATAAAAAGAACTTTGAGAAACTCCTTAAATATTTGAAAATGAAATAACATACATATCTATAGCCAGTTTCAAAGAAGAAATGAAAAAGGAAATTAGAGAGTATTCAGAATATTAAAGCAGTATTTAGCAGAAAATTTATAGCACTAAACAACAGTACCAGAAAAAAAGTTCTCAGCTTCCACCCAAAAAAGGAATGAGCAGAATTACAAATAGAAAACAGAAAAATAATGACCTCAATTAAATCTAAAACTGATTTTTGAGATGATTTTTCTTTTTTTTTCCCATAAAACTGTTCTACACAGATTTCCGCAGTTAATAATAAATTCATTTTTTCTACTGCTTAGACCAAAATCTTGACCCCCCCCACCTTGACTCTTTTGCTCACTCGCCATCCAACCTAATCAGGATATGTTACTGGCTCCATCTTTAAAATGCATACAAAATACTACCATTTTCTCACTACCTTCACATCTACTCCCATGGTTCAATTCTCCTTTAAGAAAAAAAAAAGTTAGTTTGCTCTTAAGAAAATACTGTACAATTTGTAAAGTCAGGGTTATTTATTAATAGTTAATAATACAGGCATGTGACACCATGTCTAGCTTAATAGTTTATTCTTGATTTAAAATTCAAAGTTAACTTCACAGTGTTTATTAAAAGTTGAGCCTTTAGTATTTTCTCATGTTTTAAAACAACTGATATTAACAGAATCAAAGATACGTAAATATAAACTATACTTACATATATTTTTTGAAAACATGCTGGTGGAAAATGACTCACTCGCCAAGGTTTTAATGCTAATACTTAATCATTTTATGTGTGATAATTTAAAGATTTAAAATATACAACAAATAAGCATTCATATTTAATAGTTTGACTTTTCATATAGTCCTTTAGCTCTTCAAGTGTAAACATTAAGACAAGCTATAAAACATTTTCTTAAGAATTTTATATAAGAATTTAAAATTCTTATATAAGAATTTTAAAATTTAAAGCTTTTAAATTTTATTTTTCATAAATTTTAAATGGTACTACAGATTTTTATAGTGTTAGTAGGACATTAACTTTCAGCATCTATTCTAGTTGAGATTACAATTTCTCTGCTAAAGTGATAAAAGTCCATCCAGATTGCCACTGATTAATATATTCTTTAGTGTCAAAGTCCAGATAAAAGTCAAAATTAAAAAACACTAAAACTTAAAAATAATTCAGCATAATGTGGAGTATCTGTATTTTAATTAAATATAAGAAAGTCTTTTATATAAAATTTTGTGCCTTGATGAACAGAAATGTTTTCTTCTTCAATCATGTTTCTTCTCCAGGGATTCTTTAAGCTATCCTATGTAGTGTAAGGTAGTAGTGTCCCCGTTCAGTTATTAGACTCTAATTTTTTAAACAAAAGAATTTTAAATTCTTATTCTTATTCCTCCCAGGAAGTTTATTTGTGCCATTGTCATCCACCTGAAAGGAACCCCTGGGCTGTACAAAAAGTAAACATTCCCCTTACACCTGTTCTCTCCACAGTTAAATTCTTTGATATACAAATGACATGTGCAATAGCACTGCAGAGAGACTGCTAGTGAAACTATATAAACTGGGAAGATGAGTTCATCAACTTTTCCAGGATTATTTTAGAAACAAAAATAATAACTGAAAAAATATATATTTTTAAAACATCTAGTATTTTAGTATAGGAAGTCATTGAATAAAGATTTCTAGCATATCTATATTGTGAATTTCTATGTCTCAGAAATGTTAATTAACACCAGAGTAAATATTTTTTAATAAATTGGATAAATTCACAAAATCATATAAGGATATCATATCCAAATCTCAGCTTATCTTCAAGTTTCAGGGTAATATAACTCTGTTCTGGAATCCTTATATCATTCACAAATGTCTGCAAGAAAAAGAGAAAGAAGATGTTAGGTTACATATCAAGTATTATTTCTCATATTCCAGAAAACCTGATACTGAAAAAGTACATACTATTTGGTGGCTGACAGCTTCTGTATCATTAAGATATGCCATGCATTCCGCAGCATGATAAAAGTATTTCATACTAAGCCCTTTTTCATTATTTCTGATAACAATGAACCTGGTGCTGCCAAGATGAATTTAGGCACTTAGAATAATTTCTAATGATAATGCCAAGAAAAATTCATAATATTTAGCTGGCAAAATGTAAAGGGTGAAATATATCATTAGGGCTTGTGTCCCTAATTTTGGTTGTTTTCAAAAGGAATTTGTGAGGGCTGACCTTTTGGTACTTTTACTCTTAAAATTATTCCAAAAAGCAAAAAGAAAATTTACTCATTTAAAAATAACTGAATAAACTCCTATTTTACAATTGTTACATGGGTTCTTTAGATTCTTTTATGAATCTAAGATGTATTCTAGGATCTTAGTGAATGATCTTTCCCATATGTTGAAATATTGATTTTTCATGACCATGGTAATTATTTTATGTTTTCTCAATTATTTCTAACAATAACAAAAATAACCAAAATAATGGACAAAAGAGTAACAGAAAATAATGTTTCCAAGGACAAAAAGAAAATAAGGCATTTCTTACACAGTCATTCAATAAGAAGAATCATGCAGTATTTTCCAGCAATACCTGAACCAATTTGAATTTTAAAATAAATTTTAACCATATTCTTCCTGTTATTCTTTTTCCCCCATTTTGGTTCCAATGCTAATTTAGTAGCGTTTGTAAATGGACATATGCTCAATACAAGTATCTACACTAAGATGACTAGAAGGATAAAGATGATACAGAAATAGAACTAGTGGATTGATCTACTAATCAATGTTTTAGTATTATAGAAGAAAATGGCCATCCTGTCAAAATTATAAGGTGTTAAAGTTTAAAATACACCGTTTGACCATGCAAGAGCAAAAACAATTAAAATAATAAGCGAGAACCAACCAGAAATGTACTTGACACCGGATTCAACATTTTTAAAATAGAAACATTTCAGGTGAATTTATGACAAGCTGATGAGCAGTCACCTGCATTCAAAGAACATTAACCATTTTGTCTATTATGTACTTTTAAAACCCTGGAGCTATGGAATACAAATTTGAGTTTGTTGTGCCAAATTATTTATTGAAATTTCAAGTTGTTCTTACTATCCTTTTCTTATATTTGTAAATTATTTGTAAAAAGACTTGAAAAAATATATATGTATATGTGTGTATATATATTTATATATATAATAAAAATAATCCATTGGACATTGATAATAAAAAGTGATGATTACTTTTCCTGGCATCACTGGAGTTGAAGACCTAGAAGTTACTAGAATTATATAGAGCACAGAACAAATGTTATACTTCATTGCCCAGAATGAAGATATTATATAAATACTTAACAAAGTTGTTTAGTAAATTGAAACTTAAAGTTACTATGCTCTTTCCTTTTTGATTCTATTTTTTTTTCCCATTCCACTTTATTTGAGATGGCCAATATAGCTTTTTTGAAAGGTTCCCTCCATAGTTAATAAGCTTAGAAGGGCCTTGAATCATGCATAGGAAAGTATATAAGAGTATTATGTAATGTTACTATGGTCATAGTCTCAAATTTCTGTGTATAATTAGCTCTTTGTAACATGTTATAAAATAATAATTTTATATCTATCAAGAAATTAGAAAAGATAGCAATTTTAATTCCAATCAGATATATGTTAACAAGTGAACACCACTAAGACTCAATCACATATTAGCATGATTTCTAAATAATTTCAAATCAAAAGCTTCCAATATTATACGTAGAAGTTAAAATGGTAACACAAAGAAAATTCAAAGGCTTCTTGGATTTATAAACTCTAATTTTAGGCTCATTCCAAAATAAACATTTCAGAGTGTTTTAAAACTCACATTTGGAGTTTATTAAAATAAGGTACAATTATAAACTAGAAAAGCTGTGAGAGATGAAGAAAACAAAATATTAATGAAAATATTAATTTACTGATATTTGGTATGCAGGAAATAAACAACTAGCTACACTGTGTAAAAGAATGTAACAGTTTTGAGCCAATTTTATTAATCACGGCATATAATAACATAAAACACCATGTTTACTCAAAAGGCATAAGATGACCCTTCTAAAGTTTAAGACTGCTCAACTCTCTTAAATATAAAGCACCTACAATTTGCTTGTAGGTGCTTTATATTTAAGCTATAAGGATCATGAAACACAATTTTAACATGCTGTCACTTATGCTAGAAATACTCCTTAAGGTCTAAAAGACTTAGGAAACAAGCCAGACACAAAGGTTCAGCTCACAAAAATGCAAGTGAAAACATCTGGGAGAAAATTATCTCCTAAAAGTCTAACATTACAAAAGAGAAATTTTCAAAGACAAGAGGGAAAAAATCATTTTAGTATATCAAATATGAAGCATATTAATAAATTTCACATGGAAAAAATAAGTTTTGTTTCTGTGCCAACATCATTTAATCACACCATCATATACTATATTAATATTATGGGAAACTGAATATAGTGGCCAGAAGCACAATCTACACCTCATTCACTAGGACAGCTTTATCTTCTTCCCTAACCTTCTACACCTTCTAGTGTGTCCATTCTCCACTTTGTATCACATTGGCCTAATGTGACATTTAGGGGAGAGGGAGAAAAGAGTAACAAAAGCCAGGACTGGAATGAACAGGATAGATCTGGCAGAAACCATGACATTTAACAAAGTGTGAATGGTTCAGTACAAGGAGAAAGTAGGAAGAACTGAACACAAACAAGGGTTCCTACAGAAAGAGAGGCCACATTGGATTTGCAGAAAAATGATCTACTAAAACATTAGCAACAGAATCAGTTTCAGCTTCCTCTCACTTATTATAACTACATTTTTAGTGAAATGTGGCAATAATATAAATATAAATTTAGGTCCCTTGGAAGTAGCACGGAGAATAGAGTAAAAGGGAGTAGAAGTGGAAGTGGACATTTTTGAGTTTGGTTGGTAAGTGCTTCATTTTAAAATACAACAGCGTGTTCATTGAAAAATACATAGGTTACATGGTGCCAAATTTGTCTTAGTTGCTTTCTAAAACAATAACAGCAATAACTTTATATACTAAATATTTTCTATTTATGTTCTAACGAAGTTTTGAAATTAACTTATGTATCTCTTTATAACAAACTGTGAGGTACCATTTCATTGCTTCTATTTTTTTAAATAACTAAGGAAAAGAGAAATTAAATAGTTTGTCCAAGATTACATCACTAATAAAAATTAAAACTGGGCTAAAACCACTTAGCATGCCCCCCAACTCCTGAAATTACTATTTCTAACTTGGTGCTCAAAATTCTAGAATTACATAAATATTAAGAGTGAACAATATGTAGATTACATAGTCTATATGTTTTATGAATAAAATAAATGATAGCTAGTAGTTCATAGAACTCTGACATTATTTGTCTACCATGTCCTTTGTGGCATGTTTTCAGCTGTTAATTAGGTAAGAGTAAATTTATCATTTGTACAATGCTTTAAGGTTCTATAATAAGCACACACTCACATTGCACTATCACATTTAATTCTTGTAACAATACTACACAGCAGGAATTATCATTTCACTATTTTAGAGCTAAAACAAATTTTGTATTACACCTTCACTTTTCATAAACTTCAACTCTATGTTTTCACACACTTTAGGAGACAATACCAATTTACATGAAGAAGCTAAATAATGAAGAGATTACATGCTTTGTTCCAAGTGATACAACTAATAAATTACACATGAGATTAAATCTAAGTCCTAATTCCAAGTTTAAAACACAAAACTTGCTCTCTATAGGTGATTATCTTTCACAAAATTATTGAATATAATCAAATTACAGAAATGTCAGCCTAGAAGTTCATATTTCATCTGATTTTTAAACAAACCCAACACTAAATAATTTTCACATTTGATCACAATATTTTTAAAGACTAAAAACCACCAATATAATTCTACTCCATTATTTCACAAAATAATAATGTAAAGACACATAAGAACAGCCTTGTAGTCAAGATGAAACTTTCTAGGCTTAAATACAGAATTTATAACACTGAGGGCTGGGTGGTAGAGTACTTGCCTAGCATTTGTGAGGCACTGGGTTCAATCCTTAGCACCACATAAAAATAAATAAATAATATTAAAGTATTATGTCCATATACAACTAAAATATATATACAAAAGAATTTATAATACTGATAAAATACTAAAATATTTCATATATAAATGTAGATTACAATTTTGTGCCACTTTTTTGGGGGGTGGGAGTGCATGCTAGGTACCAAACCCGGGGCTCACACATGGAAGGCAAGCTAAATTCCCATCCCAAAGTCCTTTAGATACAAAATTAATTCAATTCCATTTATAAAACATTGACTAAGTTCACATGCCATGCTTGTGCTAGGCACTGTGGTTGTAATTACATAAGCAAAGGCACATGAACTATTTAGGAGCTCATAATTAAACATAGAAACAGAGATATAAAAGCAGATTTAATATCAGGCTGATGAAACACTCAAAATAACAGATTAAAACAAAACTCTATGGGAACATAGAAGGAAAAAAGATATTTTAACAAATAGCTGTGAATTAAACTTGGTAACTTACATGCCTCATAGTTTAACAGTGTCTACCTTCTTTGCCCATTTCTACTTTAAACTTTAAGCATGTCAACAACATCAGAAGTTAATATTCATAAATACAAGAGATTTCTCTGTGATCCTTTCTGGAAGAGTAGAATTTGATTTTCTTCTAAAAATAAGTGAAACTTTTATAAATGGCAACAAAGGCGAACTACTTAGTTGAAGAAAATCTAACAATATATTTGGAAAATTATTTGAAGAATGAAAGAATTATAGGAAGAAAAGAGGTATGGCAAGGGAAAGTGTGGGACCACATATATGGAAAAGTGGCTAATGCCAAAAGTGAACAACTTCAGTCCAAACTTGAAGAATGCTGATTTAATTCTATGTGCTATGATGAAATACCAAAGGCTTGAATAAACCAACAGAACATGCTTATAAAAAAATTTGTCTCAAAGAACAAATAGAAAAATCCATTAATAGCCGACCAATTTAAGACCAGGAAAAAATATTTTACCTAATTTGCCAAATGTTTGCATGTTTATTCATATGAATTTCAATACATATTTTGAAAAGCAGTAACAGCTTGAAGTAGTTGAGATTTAATTTCTGTTAAATTTATTTTAAGAATTTCAAGGGGCTAGGGATGCAGTTCAGTGGTGGAGTACTTGCCCAGCATGCCCCAAACCCTGTGTTCAATTCCCAGCATCACAAATACAAAAAAGAATTTCAAAAACGCAGATATGAACAATATTATATTTGCTTATGTTAGCAAATGCATAAAAAATTAAAATAATTCAATACTTCAACATCCTCTTATATTCTATGGCTATTTATATTCTGCTAAATGGAGAAAGATCAAATGAAGAAATGAGAAAAAATTAATTGCAGTAACACAAAAGTATCTTAAAGTATAAAGCCAAAAAAGCAAGAAGAAAACAACGGTGCTTAGTTAATATTCTACACTTGTTAAGGTAAATTTTGTGTTTTACTTTGTTTTTGACCTTAGTATAAAAGGCCATACACTATCAGTCCCCAAACCACTTTCCATCTTTATTTTCTAAAAAGGGAGCTGACGGGACTGGCCTCAGTGATAAAGTGCCTGGCATGTGTGGGGCATTGAGTTTGATCCTCAGCATGACATAAAAATAAATAAATAAAATAAAGATAGTATGTCCATCTACAACTTAAAAAAAATTAAAAATAAAAATAAAGTGAGCACACATTTCTCTGACCCTTAGAGTATTTTCTGCATTCTTACTGCCATGACTTTATAATGTTTTCCCACCATTTTTTGCAGCCATATATATAGTAAGATAAAGCTTAGTCCTCATCTTCCTAATGAAGTCTTTAACTGTCTTAATTCCTGTATCTATTAGTTTCTTGTGAACATGTGCTAATTTCATACTCTGTTACATGGCTCCCAAAATGTGATGTGTCTAGCAAGCATTTACAAGTTAAATTCAAACTAAAGAAAAAGAAAATTTAATACAAATAGGAAATGCAATCCAATTTGTCTTCATATAATATTAAATGAATATTCAAACAAGACCAAATATAAACCTGTGAACTTACCCCATTTAGGCTGCCTAAATCTTTCACCAAATGCTCATCTGTAGAGGCATCATAATTGATTACAGCATGTTGCTTATCCACGCTGCGAGACTGAAAGAAATTTTTCTTAAGTTAATAAATACAACAAAATACTAGAATAAATACCAAACAAAAGATGTTTGGCTAGTATCTAACGTTAATAGTATAATAGGTAAAATAGGAAAACACTGAAGTAAAGTGGTTTAAGTGTTATTATACAACACAAATTTACCATCACTCCCTGAAGACAAAAATAGCCAAATTTTTAAAATATTCTTTCTACAATTATGTTATAATTTTCAAAAAAAATAAATCAGCTGACTTTGTTGGATATATCAAATTACAATCCTTTTATAATTTAAAACTGCTATAAGAAAATCATGTGAATTAGCGTTTTTTATGTATCTTACTGCTAAAAAGTTTACTCTTTAAAAAAATTGTACTCTCTATGTGTAATTGTAATGCATTAAGAATTGTAATGCATTCCGCTGTCATATATAAATTAAAAAATTAAAAAATAATTTTTACTCTTAATACTAAAAATTATAAATTACATAAGGAATTTAAAGAAAAGGGGACATAAAGGGATAATTTTCTGAATAAAATTATTCTCACTTAAAATGAGATTCTAAAACTTGTTCATGGGTGAGCTCCAAGAGTGAAAAAAAAAAACTAAAAATGAGAGAAATTGCAATGACAAACTATGTTTTTTGAAAGTGGCTTTGAAGCGTCATACACACACCACAGCTTAGTGAGTTGTCTACAGATGGAAGTATCTGAACAATGTACTAAGAGCCTGTGAAAACTGTTACTGAAAGAATGAATTTATCAGTAAAGGCACAGGAAGAGTCAGAGAACTGATGAATCTGAACTCAATAACCATTACAGAGCAACTGCACAAAACTTTGCATATAAAAGCAAAAGTGCTATCAAAACTTGGGAAGAGATATGACTTCCAGTTTCTAGTCTAATATGTGAAGAACTTGGAAGCCATCCTTTCAAACCTCATAGAAAGAAAAATGTTGAACAAAGTAAAAATCAAAATTAATCCTAAATCAGGCACAATGTTGCACACTTGTAATACCAATGACCTAGGAGGCTGAGGCAAGAGGACTCCAAGTTCAAAGCCAGCCTTAGCAACTTAGGTCCTAGGCCACTTAGTGAGAACCTGCAACAATGATTGATTGATTGATTGATTGATTGATTGATTGATACATAGATAGATAGATAAAATAAAAATTTTTTAAAAGGGCTGTGGCTGTGGCTAAGTAGTTAAGCACCTTGGGTTAAATTCCTGGGATAGGGGGAAAAAAATCTTAAAAGCTGAAGTAGTGGCACATGTCTCTAGTTCCAGCTAGTGAGGAGGCTGAAGTGGAAGGATAACTTGAGCTCATGAGTTCAGGACCTGCTTGTACAATAGAGCAAGATCTCCATCTCAAACAAAAATAAACAAAAAATCACCTTAGTTTCATCAGCGGGCAAACTACCATTAGATAGACAAGCAAATACAGAGAAAAAAATAGCTTTCCAGGAGCAGAACTCACAGCTGGAACTAACACTAATAAGAAAACTTAAAGGTTAAGGAATTAATAGTTTAAAAACTGGAATTCTACACTCTCTTCTACCATTTCTTATGAGGGTAGTAAATAAACGAACCCCTACAATAATAGAAAAGACATAAAACATAAGAGAACAGAGACCACTGAATTGAGCCATCTTTCCAACTCTGGGTGTTCGGAAGAAAGGAAGATATTACATAGGACCAAGTGGGGGGGAATCTTGTTTATCTATTTAATAAATAAAGTGGCAATTTTTTCAAGAGTAGTCTTATGAATTCACCTCTGTAATTCTTAAAATAGCCAATTTAAAGAAAGGCACAATTTTTATATTTCAGTTATCAAATATATTCAAGGTATCAATTGTGGTTCAGTATCCACCATAAGAATTAGGGCAGAATAGCAAGATTATATAGTATACTAGTCTAGTGAGTAATCAAGAAAAAGAGAGTATAAAGGATATGTTATTGCATCTAACCATATGAATAATAAAACCATTTTCATTTCCAGATGATCATATTCACATCTCCTCTAAATTAAACTAAACAGAGAGAAGGTATACTATAATTTTCACAACCCATTTAGATATTTCAATAAATATTTAATAATAATCATTCAGAAACAATTTAAATTTTAATAAAGACTGCTTACTTCATCAAGTCTCTGATACTAATAGAAAAACCTTAGCTGATCCAGTTGTAAATCACAAAGATAATTTTTAAAAATTTGTTCTAATTTGTTATGACAGTGGAATGTGATTCAATTCATACGACACATATAGAGCACAATTTTTCATGTCTCTGGTTGTACACAAAGTGGAGTCACACCATTCATGTCTTCATACATATACTTAGGGTAACAATGTCCATCTCATTCCACCATCTTTTCTATTCCTATGCCCACTCCTTTCCTCTCCTTCCCCTTTGCCCTATCTAAAGTTCATCTATTCATCCCCATTATGAATCAGCATTCTTATATCAGAGAAAACATTTGGCATTTGGTTTGGGGGGATTGGCTTACTTCACTTAGCATTACTTTCTCCAACTCCATCCATTTATCTACAAATGCCATGATTTTATTCACAAAGACAATCAATTTTGACAGGGCCTTTATTCCTGTCATAATATGCTTCTAGAAAGAATGAAAGGACTGGGGTTCTAGCTCAGTGGTAGAGTGCTTGCCTTGCAAGAGTCACGCAGTGGGTTTGATCCTCAGCACAACATAAAAAAATAAATAAAGATATTGTGTCCATCTACAACTAAAAAAAAAAAAATTTAAATGTAAAACTATCCATTTACTTACTGTCCACTTGCCATACTGTCCCTTACAAAAGTCTATGCCTCCTTCCTCTTGACTTTTACTTCTTATAAAGACCTTCTTCCCAAGGCTATGCAGCGTACTCTTTAAAGTGTGCCTTACTTTAAATTCCTCTTTGTTCTAAAGTTCTTCATAGATGGGTTATCTCCCATTATCTTCCTTTAACTCAAATTTGGCTTTTCCTCTTAGAAAACTAATTCCACTGCATTCTTTTAATATGAATGCTACCCTTCTCCCAAATCCCACATCCTGTTTTTTGTTTTTTTTTTTTTGGTTTTGATTTGTTTTGTTTTTAAATGGGAGTCAAAAGTCTTCCAATTTACTATTGTGGCTTCCATATCATGACTTATCCCCTTCAATGAAAAACCCTTTACTTTTTTGTAATATAAAGGTCCAATTATATTACAGAGTTAGTGAGTGGTCAAGAAAAACTAAGGAAATAGTATGTTACTAACATAAAAACGGATACATTGACCAGTGAAACAGAATGGAGAGCCCAGGAATAAATCTGAACATGTACAGTCAACTAGTTTTGAGAATGGTACCAAGAGGACAAAAGGAAAAGATCATGACTTCAACAAATGGTGCTGGAAAAGTGGATTTCTACACACAGAAGAATGAAACTGCACCCTATTGTACATCATATGCAAAAATTGAACAGATATAAATGTAAGTTAAGAAACTATAAAATTCTTAGAAGGGAATATAGGGGAGAAGGTCCTGGACATTCGCTTTGGCAATGATTTTTGAATATCATAACGATAGCTCAGGTCACAAAATCAAAAATGAATAAATGGGACCACAACACACTAAAAGTCTTCTCACAGCAAAGTAATCAATCAACAAAATTAAATGGCAGTTTATGATTAGGAAAACATATTTGCAAACTATGTATTTGTTAAGAGGTTATTATTCAAACTTTAAAAAGAATTCATACAACTCAAAGTGGAAACAGAACTCAATTAAAAAATGGGCTAAAGACTTGAATATGCATTTTTCCAAAAAAGACACAAAAATGGCCAACAGATATATGAAAAGGTGTTCAACATCATTAATCATTATGAAAATATAAATCAATACCACTGAGACCACCGCCTCATATCCTTTAAGATATTGTTAAGGATGTGCAAAAAGAATCTGTATGTTGTTGGTAGGAATGTATTTTGCAATAGCCATATGGAAAACAGTGTGGAAGTTTCAAAAGAAATTAAAAATAGAACTAACATATGACCCAACAATTCTTCTGGGCTTATACCCAAAAGAAATGAAATCACTTATCAGAACATTTGGCCGATTTTTGGGGATTGGCTTATTTTGCTCAGCATGATATTCTCCAACTCCATTCTTTTACCTGCAAACGCCATAATTTTATTCTCTTTTAATGATGAGTATATTGTGTATATATACCACAGTTTCTTTTATCCATTTATCTATTGAAGGGCATCTAGGTTGATGCTGATCCATAATGGGGAGGGGGGGCATGGGAAAAATGAAGGAACTTTGATTGGGCAAAGGGGAGGGAAGAGAGGGAAGGGAGATGGGGGCAGGAAAGATGGTGGAATGAGATGGACATGATTACCCTAGGTACATGTACACATAGGGTGTGACGCTACATCATGTACAACCAGAGAAATGAAAAGTTGTGCTGCAACTGTGTACAATGAATCAAAATGCATTCTGCTGTCATATATACATAATTTAAATAAATAAATTTTTAAAAATAAAAAATATGAAGTCACACACTATGCTCAAAGCTCATAAGACTAATACTGTTAAGATTAGACTGATAAGACTCATAAGACTAATACTTTTAAATTTCCCCTAATTTATCCATAGATTTAATGGAATCCTAATAAAAATTCCAGCAGGAAAAAAAAAAAAGAAATGAAATCACCACTTTGTAAAGATATCTGCATGTTCATGTATATATATATAAAAGAATGAGCTCTTGACATTTGCTCCAACATGGATAATGAGCCTGGCAGATATTATGCTAAATTAAATAAGTCAGACACAGAAAAATATTACATGACTTTTACTCATATGTGGACACTTAAACATGTACATACACACACCAAAAAAAAAAAAGTGGTTACCAAGGACTGAAGACAGGGGCTAGAAGATGGGAAGATACCAGTCGGAGAATACAAAATAGTAGATATGTAAAATTAAATTAACATGTTTAGACACCTAATGCACAACATGAGGACTATGGGTAATTAAATTGTACCATTTATGAAATTCATTTTTAAATGAGTAGATTTTACCTGCTCTTATCACAAAAACAGAAATATGGCTAACTATATTAGAGGATAAATACATTAATTACTATCTGCATATAACTTACACCACGTGGTAAAATTAAATATACATAATAGAACTTATTTTTATTAAATATCAACAATTTCTATTCTCAAACTACTAGTAGGTATCATAATAAGCATATTTAAAAGAAGCAGTAAAACTAATATCCCTGAAGTATCCATGATTAAAATTCAAATTTACTACATGCTAGGCTAATTATACAAATTATTTACAAGTCTTATTTTTAAAATGTCTAATATGAAACCTCCTACTTAGAAATAAACTTTTCTATTTTGAGCTCTCAGTTATCAAAATGCAATCCTCAAGATGTAGAACTTATTTTTAGATAATGCAGGGATGGAAAATAATTGCACTCATAACTAGAGTTAAAAGAGAGAGTCAGAAAGTTCAAATCTAAATACTATTGTTCTCTAAAAGAGTAGGAAAATATTTTATGCTAATTTCAAGTCCTGAGTAGACACAATACCTGCAACATGAGCTCACAGTCATCTCTTCCAACAAAAATCATTTCTCGTGGCAGCCTGTGGCGAGTGCCTCCACTGCTCACCAAAAACCAGGATGTTAAGCTCATTTTCTGCTTAGCTTCTAAGTCTTTGGCAAAGCTACGTCATCCTGCAGAGACAAGAAAAACATATATTTTGACATTTTTAGTTTTAGTATCTATTCACCAAAGCCTATACATAAGCATAAGAATAGAACTGCATTCATAAACAATATATAACAAATTTTCACCAGTGAAGTAAGTCCACAAACTCCACTAAGAACTGAATTAAAAACAAAGAGATTGAGCCAGGCCTGGAGGGACGCATCTATAGTCTCAGATGGTCAGGAGACTAAGACAAGAAGATTGCTTAAGCTCAAGAGTTCAAAACCAGCCTGGCAAACATAGTCAGACCATTGTCTTTTAAAGAGGGCAGGGGTTGAGGGGTGTGGGGAGGAGATAAAAGAGGGTCATTAAGTAGGTGGTCAACTAGTAAACACTTACACTCTTTGTTTTAGTCAACCAAAAGACCTGATAAGAACAATTTTAAGGAGGAAAAGCTTATTTTGGTGCTCATAGCTTCAGAGGTCTCATTGGAGGACTCATTCAGAGGACTCCATTCCTCAGGGCCCCATAGCAAGGCAGAACCTCATGGTAGAAGAGTGGCAGAGGAAAGTAGTAGGGAATATGTTGCCAGGAAGCAAAGAGAGAAACTTCATTTGTCAGATACAAAATAGATATACCCCAAAGTCATGCCCCCAGTGAACTACCTCCTCTAGCCACTCTTCACCTGCCTTCAGTTACCACTGCTTGGTGTAAGGCTTTCATAACCCAATAATTTCACCTCCTAATCTTCTTTTATTGTCTCAGACATAAGCTTTTGGGGGACCTCATCCAAATCATAACTCTCCTAAAAGGCTTTAGAATAGCTTATAAAGGTCTATAATCCTCATATAAATACTAACATTAGTACAATGTTAATATCAGATATCAGCAATACTGTACAAATAAATGTCTTATCTATGAATGGTTTCACAAAATGAATGCACCTTATATCTAAGAACTAATTATGGATGCCAAAGAAATTGCTTCTTTGACTATCAAGTATAGGATACTGAATTCAATTTCAAAAATATGCAATTTCAGTTGCTCTTTCCTCACACATATTTTACTTTCTTAATATATTTCCTTTTTGTTCTTGGAACCCTTTTATACTTAAAACAAAAAAATGAACCCCTAAGAGTATTGAATATAACACATATCCTCTTCCTGGAGACAACTACCATACTTAAGTATACAGTGTAAGTCTATGTGTATTTCTATTTAGTCATTAGAATATTAAAAAGATGTGACTCAAGAGTCAAGAGTTAATAAAATTAACGTTTTTTCTGTTTTGATAAGGACATTCTTAAGGAAAAACAGCCTTTAAAAAATGTAAATATGTGTATTATCTCTATATTAAACATACATATATATTTACAATATTAGAAAATAAATTAACTGATATTTATTTTCACTTTAAAGTAATAATAATGGGCCAATTTCATTTAAAAATGCTAATATTTCTATGAAAACATAAACTATATACCAAAGCAAAAGTAATTACAGTGAGAAGGATAGCAATATTTTCCACTTCGCAAATCTCTTTAATGTCTGGCTTAATAAAAGATTCCCATATATGCTTTGCCTTTATAGCACTGCAATCTATTGTTTATCCAGACTTACATAAAGAAAACCTGGCTTCACAGCGATAAACAATTGGAATGGGGACATGTATTTTAAGTCTTCTCAAATAATTATAGATTGTTTTTTAAAATACTGCATTGAAACTTTATAAGTGGTGGTTTTCTTGAAAGTTATTTGCAATATGGAATATGAATTTGCATCAAGGAACCTTTTATGCTGTTACATAAAAATCTACCTTTCACTTTGATGGGATTTTGCAACCCCATACATTGGTCCTTTGGAAAATTCCTTGTTTCCAGAAGAATGCAGGTTTTACAAATGTTGGCATGTTTTATTATACTATTTTATAACACAATCATTAATATCATCACCCATCTCAACAGAAAATTCTTTAAATATTAGACAGCTGTTAAGCTCATAGTAGCAGAATTCTTAAATTCTAATTTTCTCTTGATAGCTTCAATTTTATTATTGCAAAAAAAAAGGATCTTTATTACTTCATTTCCTTGAGACCCACTTTGTCTGACAAATACCCAAGTCTACAAAACTATAATTTGTCAGTCAATGTGTAAAGTAAAAGTGTTCTATGAAACCAAATACCTAGTTCAGCTCATACAATAATACTACGATGATACTTAAGTGTACAATGTAAGTCTTTATGTGTATTTCTATTTAGTCATTCAGAATATTAAAAAGATGTGATTCAAGGATCAAGAGTTAATAAAATTAAAATTAACATTTTTTTTCTGTTTTGACAAGGACATTCTTAAGTGCAAATAGCCTTAAAAAAATAATTACAAATATACAGCAATGATGACTACAACAACTACTAGTACACTCTAGTGTCATTACCTTGATATATGTATGCTAAGGAACCATCAAACTTTATCGCCATTCTTTTTTGTAAATCTCAGTACAACAAAAAAGGCAAATAATGCTTTGATATCATTATGAAAAATGTTTTGACTCCAAAGACTCTTAAAAGGATTTGAGGAATTCCCAGAAGCTTGTGGATTGAGCTTTAAGAACGACTGTTCTGGAGGATGTGGCTTTAACAGTTAAGGATATAAACCTTGGAGTTAGATTGGCAGATAAGTCTGAATCTTGGCTCACTACTTTCTATTTTGCATGAACTTGGACAAGTTATATCATCTTATTTTCCTGAGTTTCCTCATCTATAAATGAGAATAGTGATAGGATCTACTCAAGCTTTTACTTAGGAATAAAAAGAACAATACTTATAAATATTTTACCATAAAATGGATTATGTACTACACTTGAATTAAAAGTAAGCTATGCTAGCCTTTTCAACAAATGGTGTGAGAAAACTGGCAATCCATAGAATGAAACTTGATTCCTATCTCTCACCCAGCACAAAAGTCAACTCAAAGCAGATCAAAACCCTAGGAATTAAATCAGAAATTCTACATCTGCTAGAAGAAAATGTAGGCCCAACACTCCAATGTCTTGGCACAGGAACCAACCTCCTTAAGACTCCTAAAAGTACAGGAAATAAAACCAAAAATCAATAAGTGGAATACCATCAAATTTAAAAGTTTATGCACAGCAAAGGAAACATGATTGTGAAGAAAGAATGTACAGAATGGGAGAAGATATTTGCCACCTGCTCCTTAGATAGGGCATTAATATCCAGAATGTACAAAGAACTCAAAAAACTTTAACACCAACAACCCCCCCAAATAACCCAATTCTTCATCATTCAGCTTAGCAACAAAATTCCTTAACAAGACACTTAAAGCACAAGAAGTAAACTCAAGAATCAACAAATGATATAGTATCAAACTAAAAAACTTCTTCATAGTAAAGGGAACAATCAAGAACATGAAGAGAGAATGTACAGAACGGGAGAAAATCTTTGCCCTCTGCACTTCATGTAGAGCATTAATCTCCAGGATATATAAATAACTCGGAAAAGCACCACATAAAAATATATAAATAAAACAAAGGAATTGTGTCCAACTACAACTAAAATATAAATATTAAAAAAAAAAACTACACGGCGATTTCATCTCAGAATGGCAATTATCAAGTAACAATAAATGTTGGTGAGGATATGGGGAAAAAGGTACACTCATACATACATTGTTGGTGAGACTCCAAATTAGTGCAACCATTGTGGAAAGCAGAATAGAGATTCTTCAGAAAACTTGGAATGGAATCACCATTTGAACCAGTAATCCCACTCCTCAGAATATACCCAAAGGATTTAAAATCAGCACACTATAGTATGTATTGCTCCAATCAATATTTATAGCAACTTCATTCACATAAGCATAAGGCTCTACATTTAATCCCCAGTACAGGGGGGGAAAAGAGAAATATGATAAGTGTTGGTAAAAATATAGAAAAAGAATCCTTGTTGATTAATGGTGAAGATGTAAAATAGTGCAGTCACTGTGGTTTCTCAAAAAACAGAATTTATATGTGATCCTACAATTTCACTCCTAGGTCTATACTAAAAGCACAGATGCAAACAAATGTTGTTACACCAATGTTTATAAAAACATCATTCATAATAGGTAAAGGTTCAAACAACCCAAGCATCCTTCAAAAGATAAACTATAAACAAAACATGGCATATTTACATAATGGCTATTATTTGATCATAAAAAGAAATGAAACTCTGATATAGGTACAACATGATGAACAATGAAAACATTATGGTAAGTGAAAAAAAGCCAAGCACAAAAAGACAAATATTACATGATTCTGCAGCATCAAAAATAGGCAAATTTACTAAGATAGCAAGTAGAATAAAGGTTACAAGCAAATATACTAGGAGGGGGATGGACATTTACTATTCAAAGAGGAGAGTTTTTGTTTGGGAACATGAAAATTTCTACAAGTAGCGATGTTGGTTTCACATTGTTAATGTTAAAATCACTGAATTGTATAGTTTTGATAAATTTCATGGTAACATATCCAGTAGTTCCCTCTTTCTAAGGTTTCACTTTCCACAGTTTTGTTTACACACAGTTTGAGTGCAGAAAATTTCAGTACTTTATCAGTTTTAATTGCAAACAGTTCTTTGTAATATAATGAAATCTTGTATCCTCCTCTCCATCTTACCCAATGCCTTACTTGCCCCATGTATACATCACACACCTTGTTCTACATCATCAAAAATGTATGGTGTCAAGGTGTCAAAAACATACACTAAAGAAAAAACAGCCTTTTTAACAAATGGTGCTGGGAATATTGGAAATCCATATGTAGAAGAATGAAACCAGACCCTTATATCTCAGTATGTACAAAAATCAACTCAAAATGAAACAAAGACCTAGGAATTAGACTAGAAACTATACAACTCCTAGAAAAAAACATAGGTCAGTACTCCAACATATAGACACAGGAAACAACTTTCTCACTAGGACCCACAAAGCTCAGGAAATACACAAGAATAAGTAGGAGAAAATCTATGCTA